AAGGAGAATTATCAATGGCATGCTTTCTGGTCCGTTTACCCAAATCACAAAAATATATACATAAAAAAATGTAAAAGCAAAATATTGTAAATACAACTTACATTTAACCCTTAACTGACAATCCGAGGCAATATAAAAACATCACATTTAAATTAGCAGCGTATTTAAGTAAAACGGGTGAGCTGTACTCGATTTGAGCAGCTTAATGGAAGTTTGGGATTCAAACTGAAGCAAAGAAATTTGGATGTGAAGGCCGTTGTGTTTGAACTTCCCGATTAAATGTTTGTATTGTGCTCTAAGCACCAGTTCAATTCAGCCTGCATTTATTCAAGGATCTCAAGCAAAAACATTCTTTCAGTTAACAAAACGTACTCTGACGACTTTACGAAATGATTACTGAATACTTCGTGGCATATTTGCACATTCAGAGGGATGACGTTTGAAATACACTGCTGAAAAATAAATCATTCATTTATTGTGCAACTGTAGAGCAACGGAACTGTCAAAATTCAGGAAGAGATTGTCAGATGAGTCAATAAGCTAACGTCAATGAATAATAGAGTTTAATTAACTTTGTTTAAAATGGAGTGAAAAATAGAGCTTTGTACTTTAAGCTCCAATCAATTGATGAAACGGTTTTACTATTTTCTATTTCTGGTTTTCCCAACAAACAATTTCAATTTCCCTACCATTAATATGAGTAATGAGATGGGTGACTGGTGCCACAAAAGAAAACAAAAAGCTTCTCTCTTTTGTATCAACTTATTGGACTATCCTCCAATTAGCTTCTATTAGCTTTATATTTTGTTTTTACACTCCGTTACTAACTAACTGATAACCTCTTACCGCATTTTGTCAGTTTCTGGGCTCCACATGTGATTGAAAATGGGACTTCAGTAAAAAGCATTATTAGCAAAATGTAATTCAAGTATCAGAAGTAGAAGTACTCATAATGCAGAAAAGAAGCTCCTATGTGTCTTACTGTATACTATAGTACATTATTAGATCATTATTACTGATTCATTCATGTGTAAATTATAGCTAATTTATATATGTATACATATTGTCAAATCGTTAACAGTGCATAAAAACTCATCAAATGTTTTGTATGTAAAATCTTAATCTGCAAAGTAACTAAAGCTGTAATATAACTGCAGTGGAGTAAAGATTAAATGTAGAGGAGTAGAGATGTAAACCTTTTTTTTTCCACCAGTGAATTTATGTTCTTTTCAGTAACTGTATGTTACGGTTGTGTTTTACAGTTTCATGCTGAGGAAACAGATCTCTGCTTTCCTTTCAGACACACTGAGCAACAACATGAACAACAAGACTTTTACTGCCCAGTTATTACGATTAAAGCCTTTTCTTTTTAAGACAAACCGACTGGAGCAGGAGCTCAGTGCAGACTGAGAGGAGCCTCGCGGGCCAGCAGCATCACCACACTGAAGACAACTTCATTGTTTCTTTCATCTGTCCAGCGGGGGCCTTAACTGTATTTCTCTGTGTTCTGTTATTTAGTATGAGATGGTCGGATAGGGTCTGAGTGGTTTGTTATAAGATATAGAATGACATCGGCTGCCATTAGTCCCTTTCTTACATTTATCAATATGAAACAGGGAGCATGTTTATCAGCTCCTCTGTGATGCTCTGTTATGTGTGGAGCCTGTTTCTACTGGCATTTGTTTTCAAACATGTGTTTATGTCATATAGCAGCAGTGGTTTGTTCATCTGAATGTTACCTTATACATATTTCTTAATAGCCTTACTGCAAAATATTGTAAGTATTGGGAATAAAAATCAACTTCTGTTTATTCTACATTTTATTTCTTCCTGAGAGGAAATATAAATGTTCAAATAAAATATTGATTCTTTACTCCAGCATCCCAGCAAGTGTCTCCTCCTTTTTGGAGGTTTGTGTTTGACTCTTTAAAGGACTATTTGCTTGAAAGTGCTGAAATAATGGCATTATATTTTTAGATTAATGTCCTCCCAGCTTTTCTATTTTTTTTTCCATCTACTTTCACAGCTTCTGCAATTTCAATGCAATTTCAGGCTCTGATTGCTCTATTGCTTGGATGCTAATCATTGTTACCGTATAACTTGTTTTCTATTCTGCTCTTTTTGCTTTTAAGCAAAGGTCATTTCATATAAAAATAAATGAAAAAGTTACAAGAGGTCAGTACACAGATTGCACTCCACAAGAGATCCATACTCAACAAAATGCAGGGACTGCTGCTTCTGCAGGACTGTGTTTTATACGATGAATCGAGAAGAACCTCTTACTGGAACTGAAACGATGTACTGTAAAACCGTGTCATTAAACTATTTGTAATCAAAGAAAGGAGGATGGACTTTGTCTTTAAATAGTGAACAGCAGCTTTGGTAAGTGACGTGCTTTTGTTTTTTTACATCTGCAGCAGCGATACTACTGTGTTAATTTGTCTATGGTGTCGTTTTTATGATATGGTTAATACTGTTCCCTCTGATGTGAACAATATTTGAATGGTGCTCTTGAGTGTGTGGCGGAATGCGTGTTTTAGCGCTGCAGTTTTGCTGAAATGTGCAGAGGCCTGCTGAATCGTGTTATTTGTGTTTTATGTTATTCTACCTGCTTTGTTGTCATATCAATATATGTGACTGGTTTGTTGTGAGTTTGTTCTCATCATTGTGTTAATTACATTGATTTTGACTATATGCATTGCCCGTCAATGACGAAGCATCCCGTCATGCTGGCATCATAATGAGGTTAATTGATGATGCTTAATGAGGTGGTTCAACCGTAGGACAGCACTGTCCTACTACAGGCCCAGGTATAAAATACACGGCCCGTCACTGATTGATAGTCCTGTCTTTTGTCTGAGGTTGTTGGGTCGTCTGATGTGTTCCTGTTAATGGCCCTTGTACACATGTCTTACATGTCATGTCACATGTTTACTTGGTCCTGTTTCATATTACTTTGCCTGTTGGATTTTTCAGTTACTCATTTTTTTTGTAGTAAGTTCTGTAAGTAAGTTCTGTTTTGGATATTTCTTTATTAAAATCACTGTTTATCATCCTTCTGCTCCCGTGTCTCCCTGCATTTGGTTCCATCCCCTGTTGCCTTTTTGCCCCACCGTGATATAAACACTCTAAATCCCAATACCGTTTTTTGACATATCCAGATTGTATCCAAATATGAACAGCAAAAAAAAACACAGAGGAGAAAAACAGTCTGTGGACAGATGCCGAAATATATTCAAATTCAATGTATACCGGCCTCCTCTGCAGCTGAGTTTGTCTGGAGTTCTTCACCAGGACTTGGCAACGTGGTTGTTTGGAGGACGAAATGCTTCAGCGTTGGAAAGCCGCGCCAGCTTAGTAGTTACTGATGCCAAATTAATAAATTGTATTTACCTGCAGTAGCCTAATTAAACTCTCTATTAAGCTCCATAACGCTGAGAGGAGCTGCAGATTCAGCTGATGATTCACTTCAGGTTCATCACTACAAGCGACCACTTTCACATTGTAACATTGTTTTCACATTGTCATCTCATACATGGTTATTATACAATATCAATTATGCTTTATAAACGTAACACGAGACCACACAACTATTGCTGAACAGCGACCCCTGTGGTCTTAAGTGGCAATTACAGGACAATTCCACATTGGACTTCCCCACATTTCGCTGCTATTTTACAGACGCTATCATTAGGTGATCCGGCTGGGAGCAGATGGAATGAGATCATAAGGAGGAAATAAAGTCAGAAAACTGACTCAGTAATGTCATTTACACAGAAATATCGAAAGTTTGCAAACAGCCATTGGTCATACCAGACCAAGTGTCTTGAATTAAGCAATAGTTATTTAGTTTGCTTATGGATTCTACTTTTTATTTGTAAGATGAAGACTTTTACACTTCTCATATTTCAGAATCTCAAAGTATTTGTAAGAGACCAACAATAGCTGAAGTTTAAGTGTGTAACATGCAGGCTTCACGTGTAAAATTGTTGTGTGTCTGTGTCTTTTTCTAAAGTATACAGTCGAATGATGAAGGCTGTATGTATTTCCTGCTCTCAAATCCTAAAATCTGCTGGGTGTTGCTGTCGGTACCGAATTAAATATTAAAGTGACAGCGGCTAAACTGAACACAAAGTAACAAGTAACTGCATTAACACCTTTAAACAAATCTGAATTTCTGTTTTTTATTGAAAATATTTTTAACCAATTTTGACCAGCTCCAGTCTAAAGATCAGATACAAACGCTATTACAGAGAAAGAGAGTACAAGAAAAATATGAAAAAACATAACACTGTGCACACATTTATAACTTAAAATATGAAAAGCTCACATCTACTTTGAGTTTGAGAATTACAGAGAGTAAAACACACAGCGGTCACACCAGTAAGATGTATTCCATTCAATATCTGGATGCGTTTGTACTATTTTGCCCTTTAAATGACCCATTCATGAATAAGGTGAGAGAAGTAACACTCGGACTACTTCACATACACGAGGCTACGCAGCTAAATCATCTCCTCTTATATCACAAAGTGCTGCCATCAAACTCTGAGTCAAATTGTTGGTCTTTCTACTCTTTGATTCTTAAAAACTTGAAAAAGTTTATTTAACCAAGTCAGGCGATAATAACTTTCATTCACAATATGAACTCATTTTGTAGAGTCAAGGACTTCTTTTAGTTCACACTCTGAAATACTATTGTGCTTAACTTAAACACTTAAATTAATCTTTTGTACCAAGCAATTTTCTCAAGTCAATAGAGGCTTAGCCCTTGCAGCTCCAAGTGCATTCCTTAACCAGACACAGGAGAGCACTTTCCTTTTAAAATGTTAGACTTTCAGGACTAAAGAGGACACAGGGAAGTTCTCTTTTATTATGTGCTTTACCAACCAGATTTTAGCCCAGTTATTCAGAGATACAGAGGTGAATTCCTGCTCACGGAGAGAGATGCGAGGGTATTCAAGAGTTTGGTTGGTCAAGCTCGGTAAGAAAGACTTCACTTTTCTATGGGATCTTTTATTTTAAAGATAACGCTGCAAAAATGATTTAATCAACCAGACAGAAACCAGTTTGATGTACAGACAAGCTATGTTTGATAATTGGTTCACTTTTTATATAGAATCACATTGTAGATCATAGGTAATGAAACTGAACCAGCTTAAAATCATTTAAGTCTGATAAACAAAGTCAGATATCAGCCAACAACACATAACATTTATTGAGAAATACTGTGGCACAAAAAGCAATCCAGGAATCGCTCCACAAAACAAGAATAAATGTTTTACACCCTTTCAAGAAGTCAGCATTAATTCTAAACAATTATATACAACAATGTCACGAAGAATTCTAATTATTCTTTAAATCTCAGTCCTCTGTGGGTGAAGCGACACCTCACTTGCATGGCAGCTTCTGAATGAGAAACAAACATTGTAATGTAGATCAGTAAACATGCACACTCTTGACTGCTGCATACAATTTTAAATGTGTATCTTATGTGTATCTTGAAATTGTTAAGGATCTTTGAGGTGTTACGGTTTTTACCAACAGTACTGTTAATTCATTAAAAAGTTCAGAACAAAGAGGACAAAACATTAATTTGTTGATGCCAGAAATGATCACCAGTTTTTGTATTTATTATATAAACAATCAAATATATTTTCATGTAGCTCATCTCCTTTACTGCGTAAGACTCTGATGATTTGTTGGTGTCAATCTGTGCTTACTGATTTTAAAATGTAGGGATTCACTGATACATTGTAATATGGGCACAATAAGTGTTATTAAAAAGTTAGGCTCCGTCACATTCTGTGCTCATAAAACAAGCTTTTAGAGGCTGAAATGCTCGTAAGTACTCTCTAAAGAGCAAGATTTTATTTTTTTGGGGTGATATAATAGAAATGGCACAAAAGGAGCATTAGATGAACAACAAAGATGCACAAACATTATTTATAAATTTAGAGCTGACATAGGAACAACACGGCATGGAGAGGATAATTCATTCGAAAAGCTATGCGTTAGTTTGTTGGCTGTCGTGGCGCATTAAGGAGTAGAGCTTTTGGTGCATAAACAGCAACTTCTGGTTTAAATTGTGTTCTCTGCTAAACATCACAGGCCAAAATGACTCGAAATATGAACCCACGAGATCTCATCCTTGACTTAGACAACGTTAATGAGATAAATAAAAGAACTTCCGCGTATTTAATACAGTTTAGCTACTGGCATGCATGGAAAAGGGTGCCTTTATTCCATTTAGTGTTTGCATATACTGTATCTATACTTATGAAGATACAGTAGAATGTATTATCATTAAAATAACAGTACGAGTAAAAGCCATGGCGGAAATGTTAAATGGTGGACATCTTGTTTTTTTTAAAGTGTAATTAACCTTCAATATTTACTCTAAAAGCAAAGGAAGAACAGAAGTATCAACAGAATCCAAACTGGTGTCGTAGAGTCAAGGACTTTTTTACAAGTAGAATCATGCATCACAGCAATTTCTTTAGTCAATCGAGGTTCAGTCCTCTGTGCACAAATTGCATCCCTGAATAGGGATGCACTTTCCATTTTAAGTTAGGAGGCAGAAAAATGCCACTAATGTGTTTTATAAACCAGGACAAATATAAAGTTACAGAGGTCAATGCACACACACACCGAAATAGGTTTCTCTAAATGGTGCTGTATTGAACCTCTAAATGGAAACGTTAAGTGGTTTTTTGCCGTTATTGTCAGATCATCATGAAAATATGACTGTACAAATAAAAACTTTTTTTTTTTTTTGTTTTTAAATCAGGGAAGTGTTACACAGACCATTGCACAAACCATACAAGGCGAGTTTGACAGAACAACTGAATAACTTTGTTTTGTTTTTATTTAAAAGTTGATCAATGTCAAATTCAGAGCATATGATTGAGGGATTGCCTCCCCACGGCTCTCAACGTGGCAACAGCTGAGATGGCGGCTAGCAGCTAATGAAACTAACAGTGCAAACAACGGCAACAGTGCGCACTTTAAAGAGTCCTTGTTCATGTTGGTTACAAATTTAAGTAAATATTACTACTCACCTGGAAAACAGTCAAAGTGGATCTTGGAAGTTCTTGGAGAAATAAAAGTTCAAACATTTGCAAAACCTTGACAACTGCTGGCAACTTTTGTGATACAATCAAAAGCTCTAAATGAGAATAGTCCTTTGTGCAAATAGTTTGGTCAACTATTTGTAAATACTAACGGAACCAATTTTGATCTGACAAATTGATGTTTTGAGAAAATAAAGTTGGAATAAAACCTGATTTGACGTTTCCTTGGTTTCTTCTCTTTACAAGTTAGTACTAGTGCGGAAATCAGACTTTAATTTCAGTATTCATACTATTTGGACCACTAGAAAAGTAGGAGGTGTAGGCAGCAATTCAGGGGTCTTGAACCAGGCTTAGTTAGTATCATTCCAAAAACAGCTGGATGATCAATGACAAACGCTGAGGCCGCTCATTAGTTATGAGTTTAGTTTTGTCAAAACTTCAAACAAAGATTTTTAATCACTTCAGCGATGTCGTTAAGTGACACCAGACACTTTTGGTCAGTTATTTATCGTCAGTATCTGCAGACACATCACAAGTATGACGCATGACGACATGACCATGCAGGTGATCACCTTTAAAATTGAATTTCTCCTAACCATCCAGCTGGCTCACCCTCTTCATAAAAGGCTTCAGCTGAACAAGAGGAAAAGAGAAAGATGAGAACATACAGACACTAATAACGGCTGAAAGCACTACAATAGGAAATATTTATGAAAACAAAGTAAAATACTGACATTCATTCGAAGACGATGTTTGTATGTTGGCACCATTACACATGCGGTGTTGACTGTTGTCTTACAGATGTATAAAGTAAATGTTACACAAGTCCAGTCAGTGTGTGTGAGAACAGTTCTTTGGTATTTTATAACACTGTCAACCAGCTCATAGTACATGCAGCAGATTAAATAAATCAACATGAAACATTATGTAGCCGACAACAAAACATAAACTTCATATCCAGCACATCATGCTGTAAACACGTACAATAATGCCTGAAGTCTTTGCAAATATCATTTTCAAATATTTTATAAACAAAAATCATGAGCATGAAGGGGTTCATAAGCATCGCTAGATTAGATTAGTGTATCTGGATAGGAAGCAACTGTAGCTTCCAGTCAAAGAGGCAACAACATGCTTTACAATTTCGGCAAGAGTGGCAAGCACATTCAAACACATCACAACATGCTCACCAGCTTCTATTGTCTACAGTAAATCAGAACAATAATTCTTAAATCAATCATTTAAAACGTAATTGTCTGTATTGTTATACAGAGTGAGGTTATAAAAAAAATGAAGGGGTGGGGTTTATCATTTTGTTTTCATAGTTTTTCTGAAAGTCAACAGTAGATGGCAGCAAAGTAAAAACTAAATACTGAGAGAGAAACTCACCAGACAGATTCTTTGGTTTTATCCATTCAAGAATCAATAAAAACTGCCCATGAAAGTAAACCGAATGGTAAGAGTTTAAAAAAAGAATGAGCAAATTGTTGACATGTGCAGAAAACACATACACAAGAAAGAAAAAAAAAAAAAAAAAAGATATGTCAAGAGCACATATGCATAGTCAAAAGAAAACCTGTCTGGTGGTCAGCGTTAACATGAGAGCTGGCTTTTTAATGTGACAGTTTACTGCTGCGCCAACGAGGCCGATCCCAAAGATAAAGTGCATCAAGTTAGTCAGTCATAACCTGAGTTAAGCAATTTTAACCGCAGGGTCAATTTTCTAAGACAGGTCGTAAAAAGTTCTACAGCAAAGATGATATCAGCAGTATCAAGTGCACTGACTTTGGCCTGTTTTGTTTTCATTCTAACTACCTTAAATCTATTTGTTTACCTTATTCTAAGTGTGCAAATTATGTACGGTTTCCACATCAAACCCACTGCAAAAATAATTGGTGCAGCTTTCATTGACCCCTGTGGTAATTTGCAAAAAAGTTGCATGAGCAACCTACAGTGTCTCTTCTTTGACTGATGCACGAGTACATCCAAGACACTGAGAGCAGTATCATCAAAAAAAAAAAAAGGAAAGTAAAACAATACAAAAGTTACTTGTGCACGGCTACAAATGGTATTATGACAAGAACTCTCCTGCTAATGTGCACCCCAGCTACATGTTTATTGGCATTTGCAGTCAAATATTAACAGCTGGAGTCTGCTGAGTGTCTAGAGGAGCCTGTGCCTTATATGCTCCTGCAGCCACAGCAGTAGAGCCTGTAGAGAGCTGGGCCCATCAGGCACAGCCTCTGAGTGCATCTGCAGCAGTACCTCTTGTAGAACAAGCAGCAGGGGCAAGCTCATACTCAGTAGCTCGTACAGGAACGCATAGTCTTGGGCATTGTCCCTCAGGTGGCCAGCGAGGGCCTGTGCTGTACTACGCACACGATGGGACAGATACCCGGGGGCGTTACACACAGCACGAATCACACTCAGGGGCCGGCTCAGGTGTTTCCTCATGAACGAGCTGCAGATACCTGCTGAGGATCGACTCTCCAGGTCTGCTGTGCTGCTGGACTCCAAGCTCTGTCCATCATCAACACATAGCTCCTGAGCTCCAGCTCCAGAAAGATCCTAAAGACAGACAACAGAGGAGTTCACAATCTCACAGTAAATATTGCTAGAATAAGATGGATACTTTTAGAAATGCAAAGTACTCACTGAGCGCAGAGAAAAAGCCCTCTGTAGGTTTGTCCCATTGTTGCGTTGATCAAAATGAAGTTTGCAGTACAATTTTCCTGTAAGATTACAGCAAAGTGTCAGTACAAAGTAGATTTATTAGTAAAATCTGGATTCAGATTCAGAGAGATGATATCGGATGACACATACCCTGTTCAGAGTCGAAGGCATGTGCTCCCTGTCGCAGGGCAGAGCTGCAGGTGGAACAGCGGAAACATTCCCTGTGGAAGTAGAGCCCCTCGGCACAGACCCTCTCCACCATATAAACACGCCTCTCGCATGAGTGACACTTGTCACCTGACGGGGGGAACGCCCTTCGTACTGAGCCGCCCTGGGAAACAGAGTACAGGCAGAGTGATAAGCACTAATGTAAAAAAAACACTGACCTCAATCCTTCAGATAGCATTTACCACTACTTAAACCCAGGCAATTAAATACTTAGATCATAAACAGAAGATCACATAAACAACCCAAACGGCACATTCATGAAGATGCAATATACAAACTCTCTTTACAATTTGTGTCACAAAAACAAATTCCTCCAAACATTTCTTCATCAGAAAGCCTTTTTGAATATTGAATATGTTTAATCTAGTTTTATTTCTGCACTTTTAACTCTTAACCTGTAGTCTACATACCTGGTTTTCTTTGCTAGCAAGTAGACTTTCAGTTTCTTTTTCCAAGTTCAAGATTAAACGTTCATGTTGAATATTTTTCACAGGTCACATAGCTTTTGCCAGAAACTCTTCATTGCATTAGTTACACTTTGAGGTGTTGGCATGTGTAGAAACACAGGTGGTATTACATGCAGGAAGAGTGAGAATGTGACAAGATCAGGAACACACAGCTGTTTCAATGAATGCTTTTCTTGTCAGTGTCACCTCCTTGTTTTAATATCATCTTGGGGATGTTTTGAGTGACAGTTGAGGTGATGGTGAGGTCCATGAGACTCTGTGTCGGGTCATTTTCAGGGAGGGGGACTGTTGTCTTCCCCTTAAAGTCTACAGCCTCAGACTCATTTGCAACTGCTCACTAATCCTAACACTGGGTATCAGGAGTTGTTCTTTTATATTAAATTGTAAAATCTGGCTGTTGAGTTAGAGCAGGCTGTTTGGGTTGGGTGGAGCCGAGGAACACACAAAGTGCCATCACAAGAAAGCACGCTTCTCTTCTGTGAGGACTGCTGGTAATTAAAAGCACACTGGGCAGAAACAGCAGTTAAAAGCAAATCTCTCATGCAAAGCAGCAGTCCTAACTCATAAATATGTCCATTATAATTAAGAAAGTACATGATAACAATGTAAATCTTGGGCTTTGATGCTTGTTTTTTAAGCTGTTTTAGAACGGGCCCTCTGCGTGCTGCCTTTAGGATGACCAAGATATGTTGAGCCTTCACAGCTGAAACAAATATTACATCATGCATATGACCTCTTTTTGCCAGATTATTAGGTACACAGAGATAAAACTAAGCTAGTCTAATAGTACAACAGATTTAACTTCATCAAGTTGTTAAGTGTTCAGCGTTTGTTGCAGCGTTTTAGAGAGCTGTTCTTTCAACTTTATGGGAACATTTGAGAACGACATGTGCTATAGCAAACTTGTTCGCACACAGTTGCTTATTTACACCTCCAGTAGTGACAGAAAACCATCATCATTCACTTTGAGTCATGTTTGTAGTCACCTGATGAATGTAAGTCAAATATCCCCTTTCTTTTAGCTCGGTTTTTGGTCTCCAGTAACTCTATGTTCATCAGCTAATTGCCATCTGTGTCTATCTGATGTTTGGTGGTCATCAGGTAGTGTACAGTGGATTTCTTTAGCTTTTTCACTGAAAACAGCAGCTTGCTGTGGCCAAAGTTCACACTATGTGAGCAGTGAGAGTGAATCAAAACACTAAAATTATGGACCAAACATCGTAAACAATGAGCTGAAACTCACTATAAGATAAGATAAGATATTCTTTATTGTCCTATTGTCACACGATACACTTGATGTAAACCTCGTAAAGGGGAGAAGAGTTGCAGATTCAGGAATGAATTCTCTGTAGGTTCAACAATATGAGGCCCTTTGACCCCTATCACATTGTTTTAATGTTGGCATTTGATACATTGTTATTATAAAATATAATATAGTCACTTTAAGTGTTACCTTGATGAAAAAAAGTCATTGCATTATTATGACAGAATTCCCTGCATCTAGACATATGAAAGTGTACAAAAATAAAGGACGAGGGAGAAAATTGGCTGCATGCATCACTGGTGATGCCAAACATGCACATGCACACGCACATGCAAATACACACGCACATGCAAATACACACACACACGCAAATACACACACACACGCAAATACACACACACGCAAATACACACACACGCAAATACACACACACGCAAATACACTGAAGGGCAGGTAGTGCAAAAAACAAGGCCAGGGTGGCGTCACACACCAAGCTTGAGATAGTCACCTTGAGTTCAGCAGAGCTGTCTGATGAGAACAACCCACTGAGGTGAACAGCTTTTTCCTTTATACTCTTTGAGTGAAACTCTCTAGCCTGTTGTGTCTGAGCTTTTTTCTGCAGGATGACACAGGATAAAAAGAAGAGCCATGAGTCTGGCCTCCTCAGTACAGTTAGACACATTCTCCCACTAACAAATGGAGCTTTCTGTGTCTAGACATAATTAGGCAGACTAATAACCATTTGATACGCAGCGCACGGTTAAATGATGAAAGACCTTTCTGTTCTGCTTTCCCAATAAGAAGCAGGATTTGACAGCTAAGTGTGTAGACTATTGTTGGGACAAGAACAATAGCGTCGGTGTGTGGAAAGAAAGCTGCCTTATTACGTTAATTTCACACCCCACTTGATGTGGTTACTCATGCTGTACTGGAGCAGAAAACAGAGACAGCCACAAAGACTTGGCACAGAAATCAGAGACAACTACGTCGGTTCAGCCAAAGAAATATAGACATTAATAAATGCCATAGTGAAGTATGGAGTCGTCAAGGCCAAAATAGAAAGCACATCAATTAAAAGGATAATCATAAAATGTAAGATCATTTGAAAAGCTTTATGAACAAAGTTGGATTATCTACACACTGATAATACAGGGGTGGACAAAATTCCCCTTTTCACTTTGTTGGAATTAAAGGATCAATACTCTCATGTCAGCACGTACAGTATGGAGCCAGATCCAGAGAGAGATTAGACTAGCTTACACAGACTAATCACCTCCTGCCTCCTGCTCTGTACTTAACACACAGACAGCAGTATCTTATCATCTAACTCTCGGCAAGAAAGTGTATAAGCAAATTTCCCAAAAATGCCAAACTATTCCTTTAATTATAATTACAAACACTGTTAGCCTACATACAGTATAAGCCAGTTAGCAGCTTTTTGTCAGCTATAAAAGAAGCATAACAACCTGCACATGAAAGAAAGGTGAAACAAACAGAGCAAAGACAGATGATTCGTGTGGAAATTGCAGGTGCATCTGTCAAGAAAACTGAAAATGTTTCAATATGTAAGAATACACAGAAGTCCCATAAACGACCATGTAAAAACACAGACAAGCTGCAATGACAAAGAGGAGCAGTGGTCACAAAAATAACCCTTTTTTATGGCAGGTTTTTCCAATAGTGAATTAGTAGAAATTTATTTTGATTGTTTTCATTATTTTAAGAAGATCCAGGTGAAACTGGATGAGATGCTTCAATATTTCACACATCACCACTGTTCTCAACAAAAAAAAAAAACTCACTAATTGATTTGATAAGGAAAGCTATTTTGCAGATCTAAGCCAAGACAGGCAGCTTTTTGGCAAATCTGAATAATCAAAATAGCTTATTGGCAGACCTGTAAGCCAGTGCCTGCAGCCCGGTCCTGGCCGACCTGTTCCACACAGACTCTGACTGGCCAGTAATCCGCCCATGTGCCTGTCTCAGCTCTTGGCCAGGTCTGTAGGCCTGCTCTTGCCATTTTCGTCAGGCTGGACAATTAAGGGGCTGCCTTCACCCTCTGCCTACACATTACACAAGCCTAAATGTATAATCAGGGTATGATATACAATCAACATTCACTCGGGGGCATTTTTGGGGATCAGGTCATGCAACAATCACAAGGGGTTGAAAAGAGAACAGAGAAGAAGTTAAATATATGAAGGAGGAGATAGTTGATAGACAGATAGTGATCACCTCAGAGACGTGTTCGTCCACCTCCCTGAGGCGCTGCAGCACTCTTGACATGAAATGGATTGCTGACTGGCAGGAGGGAGAAGAAGCAGGGGGGTCTGCACTCTCCGGCTGAGGCTGGGGCTTCGTCTCAGCGTGCGTCCGATCAACATGTCTGAGCTTCATTACTGAAAATGGGTGCAGGGACTCAGGCTGGAGCTGAGGTTTGGGCAGAGTCTTTGGAGGCAGGCGCACTAAGTGATCTGCTGCTTTTCTGATACTGACCTCAAACTGAAAGGGATAATATACAGTAGTGCACATGTGAGCTGTGGTTTAGCTCCTCGTCAAGCAACCAAACTGTGAGACATGAATTCACTTAAAGGCTGTAGAACCACGCAGATGGTTTTGTTTTAGCCCATTAACTACAAATCATCAAAGCGCTTTACAATGCTGCCAAATATTTTCAAAGCTATTTTTTTGCAATTCTTTTTTAGGTGTTAGTCATGCCAGCACAGCATTAACACTTTATTCTGTCTGCTTCATGTTTTGCCAGAGTTATGTATCATCAAATGGTAATTAAGCAGGTTGTTTTTAAAACCTTCTTTTAAGGGAAGTTAAGAACTGAAGGGGCAGTCTGACATCTGAGACCTTGGAGTCTACAACCAATAGCTACATTTAACTCAGATTGAATGCGAATTATTTTGAGTTTTAAAAAAGTAACTTTGTACTGCTGTCCAAATATTAGCCGTAACTTTATTTCCAAAAGAGGTAGTTTGCATTGTTTACTTGATTAAGTACATATATATAACTGTATTTATTTGAGTTTTCATTCTTATTTAGTTTCTGGTGTGAAATGAGGGTCCGAGTCAGTCGAGACTGCAGAATGTAAAACCACCAGTAAGGTTGTTTACAGGAGAAACGGAAACTCCTAATTTAGGCAAATTATATAATTTCAGCATAACATGGGTTGTTTATGTACACACTGTATATAGTACAGTGCGTACACATAAACATGACATACATGTCTGTGTGTGTGTGTGTGTGTGTGTGTGTGTGTATGCATGCACGCATGTGTGTATGATTGACTTTTCTCATTTACTTGAAGCTTTACAGACGGTCACTAGTTTTAAAGACTGTCCTGATGCCTTTGATTACCGTTTGTACAGTTTGTGTGTCTAAACTGCCGTCTAGCAGCTCCAGACTACCTGCATCTCAGGAGGAGGTTTAGGTGGGATCGGAGGCCTGAGTTTAATGTGCAGACCCTCAGCCAGGTCAAGAGTTTGAAGCGGGGAGGACTCCTCACAGTCTGACTGAGATTTTGCAGGAAGGTTAGGAAGACCGTTAATAAAAAGGCACAGAAATAGAAAAAGGCTGAAAAGAATGAATGCTGGAAAAAAACAGACAAGAATAGACTTTGTAGAATTAGCAAAAGGAAAGTTTTGTCAGATTAAAACCGCAGACTGCTGTCAGAGCTCCAGCTCACAACAAGTTTAAAACATATTCATGATCCATGAAAAAGGCAAATAGCCCTTTTTAACTATATTTATGAAGAAAAGATGTACAAAGTATTTTGTCTGTCGATAAATAAAAACATATACACAGTATATTCACACATATGAACTTAATTACAGGACAACAATGAAAACCATAACTATAGTACAGTAAATTAATATATTTTTTAATCTTAGGGGCTAAAACACAGTTGTGTATTTGTACCTGTTTTCTCCGGACGGTGTGGCTTTGTGTGCTTTCAAACTTGGCCAGCAACTGAGTAGCCATTGAGCGCACCCTGTTTTCCTTCGGCTCTCGGTCCTCTTGCACTGCGGAGCCATTACTCGACAGATTGGTGGCCTGACGAGAGTCGGGGCAACAGACAAGATCCTACATCAAGATCAACAGAATTTTCTTCTACATGTTAAGTTTGAAATTACAAGTAGGTAGTTAAACAACAAACCTCCTCCAGATAACTGCAGAATTTCCGCCTCCTTTTGTAAATGGGATCTGTACCGTCCGACTTCTGTTCATCCTGTAAAGCACAAGGAAAGACTGAATATCCAACGGTCAAAGGAAGGGGAGCTTCAAGCCAAAAACGACAGGGACATATTGTCCTTTAAAACACATCTAACAATGACATGCTGCATGTATATAGAAAGAGTCCCATATGAACTGGAAATAAAAACATTGGGAGTCAGAGAGAATCAACTTTTTGTATTTAGTACATCAGATCGAAACATTTCAGTGTGGAGTTACCTTCGGTACCCGTTTCCTGGGCAGAGCCAGGTTGAGCACATTATTATTACTTCTCACTTCCTTAGATGGATAATCTTCATTGTTTTCATCCACTCCTCTGGAACCTGCAGTAAAACACGTGGCTGCATTAGAGTTTTCATACTTTCCACAGGTTACAGCCATAAATGTCAGATAATATCAATGAACAATGGCCATGTAGATTAGGAAAGTCATATAAGTGGTCTGGAAAAAAAGAGTTACTGCATTTGTGAAGAGCAATGTTCAACCAAAAAAAAACCATAGGCCCTGATCACACAGAGACGCATCGCTACATGCGCGGCCACTTCAAAGCTTATTGAATCACTCAGCTGTATGTCAGAGAAAGGTGAATGGCTGGCCGACGTTAAATAGAACAACAAAGTATACTGTAGGTAAGCATTAAACATCCTTTCAGTAGAGACAGGCAGTGATGGATGTTTTAATGTCGTCAAGACTCCCAGACTACAGAAGTCCACTCTGGTACAGACACACATTCCTCTCATGCCATACCAGCACCATACTTGACTAATAGGACTGCACAACACACACATTTTTAGAAGAAACCAAATGGAATTTGATACATTCTCTCTCACTGGAATTTTGGTTTTCTAAACATTTTAATCATAGAATACATTGAAGAAGATGAAGACCAGAAATAGAGAAGATAAGACAACTACAGAGTTGATTACAATACAGTAGAGTAGAGTAGAGTAGAGTAGAGAACAGTAGAGCAGACTACCTGAGGCAGGTAGGGGTGTGCCACGCAACAGCTCGTAGAACTTGGACAGGTAGGTGATCATCCTGGTCTTATCCAACTCCTGATCAGGACTCAGCTCCTTCACAGATGTGAATGATCCGATCCCAAATTCACGCTCACTGATGTCAAAAGCCAGCTGGAGGTTTGCAGAGTGGTCTTCCTCGATTAATGAGTCAAAATCTCTGATGGAAAAAGACAGTAATGGTGGCTCGAGTAAGAGGAAGGTAATAAAAACAGATTCTGAGTACATACTGTATGTCATAGTTACTGTTTCAGCCACAGTAGGGTTTACATTTTGATTGTGAAACCATTTACCTCCGTCTATTTCTGGTTTGCATTTCCACTGATCATTCTGCCATGCATACATAATGATATTTACTTAATTAATTAGATTTTCTTTTAACATATGTTCACTTCTTATTGTTTCTGAAATGCAGACTTTCCAGTATCATGACCAGCAGAATTTCACTGAATAATGAGGCAGGAATGTAACAGTGAGGTTTGAAGGGCTGAGATTCTTTAAAGGATTATTTCTTGACTTCCATTTCATGTAGGCGTCAGGTGACTGATGTTGGGCAGAGTGTAAGATAATATGCACACTGATATGAAAAGAGTTGAGGTAAGCACAATAGAATGACTTTATACTGAAACTTAACTTATTCAATCTATTTTAAGCCCTGCAGAAGAACTTGTTTCTCATATTGCAGGAGAAAATGGCTGCAAATTACTTGGCAGAAAAACCCAGCTCTGATGTCTTTACCTACACCGACGGTGTGCAGACACCATCAGAGATAATGTAAAGAGGGGGGCAGTAACCTAGCAGCAGCACACACAGGCGTTGGTGTTATTCTGTAAGTGCAGAGGCTTGCTCTTTCTCCCTTTCTTTCTTTTCTACGAACCTGCTCAACTCTCTGCAGCCTGCTCTGCTGACAGGCATGCATATGGAGGAGGGAAGGGGAAAAATGCCAGTAGTTCCTGGAAACTCACAGGACCACATGAAATTGTAGTGGCATGTGGCGAGGTATGAAGGCAATAATTAAAGAGTGAGAGGATATAATTAGATCTGTAAATGTACTAATCTACAGTTGCATTGGCTAATTCCATGCCGTGCAAGGCAGTCTAACTCTAAAAAGTGGAAACTAATGCACGGTTTCTGTTTTTTAGGTAAGATTTTGTCCCAAAAGTTGGTGATAAAGTACACCAAATCCCACATGAGTTGTTTTTATCCATGGCTCCAGATAAACAGATAGGAAGGACCATTATTTAGAATGAAAGACTACTCAATAATATTTTTGGAGGATCCACATTAATAAAAAGGTACTGAAATAACCAGTATTTATTTCAGTTTAGTTGGTAATCTCACTTACAAAATGGCCTTGGTAAAAACGTGTGAAATGTACACACCTGCCCTCTAAAAACTCCTCTGTTTGCACTCTGTACTACCAGCTAGGTTTACGCAAAAGACAGCTATGTATGAAGTCTTCTTCACATCTATCAGCACTTTCAACAGGGTTGAGTGTTTTAGTTATGAGGAGGTAGAGAACACACATTGATAAAAGAGTTGCTCTCATGCCGAGCATAGTTAACACACCCATAAGAATTAAATTCCTCACAACTAGATGTTATGAAAAACAACAACACATTTGTCAATGTGAATGTATGTCTGGGTTTAATACTGTAAAGAGATAAGATGATGTTAACAGGTTTTAGATGGAAAGATGCAGCGCTGCAGGCTGGTAGTGATTTCATTTGACGTGTGTTACGTACATCAGCTGGGGTTTGAAGCTGTGGATGAGGGCGCAGAGAGCGATACCGCTTTTCCAAGAAGACGTCAAGTCTGTTATCGTCACATTCCTGTAGCCCTCGGTCTGTTTCTGGCACCAGGTAAGCAGCCTCGCCGGTCTGATCTCTGACTCTACAACAGAAACATGGCTAGTTAGACTTTTCAAAAAAACACAGCAGTTCTTTCTCAAATAACTTCTGACATTAATTTATGCTGTGTTAGAAAATCTAGACCCTCAGAGAGGCTGAAGAGGATATGATGCCACAAGCATGAACCAACACATGGCGTGCCAGTAAATAAGGTCATGACAGATGTGGTGCTGAGGTATGCACACATCTTTGTCATTTCTGTCTGGACATGTACTTCCTCGCAGCCTTTGATGACTCGAGAGTTACTTCAGTTGAACAGCTTAGTTCAGCATATAGAGCTTCTGTGTTACTGTTAGTAAGTATATTTTTTAAAATACAAACACAGGGTCCTTTTTAAACATCCCTGTTTAAAAGGACCCTGTGTTTGACCCTTGCTCTTCAAAAACTTGAAGAGCAAGATAACTGTGTTGGACACCCGGTGGCTCTTCTTTAAAAGCTTTCTCTGTTGACCATATGAGGATCCGTTCAAAGTAACAGAAGAGTGGAAACCCTAATCAATCAGTCAGATTCTACTTAATAATATAAAGAAAGGTCAGCAAATCTGTGCTTTGAACTACAGATCCTGTCTAGTTAGATTTACCTCGTCTGCAGAGATTGACAGGCCGACGTATGGTAGCAGCACGCTCCAGAGAGCAGGAATTCAACTCTTTGCTGATGAACAAGTGACGCACCTGAAACAGGAAGGGAAAGGAAAACGATTACAAACAACAAATTCAAGACGTTGTGTATATGTGATGAAAATGGATGGATAGATGTTAGGAAGAGTGTTATATTGCCACAGTGAGTACTCCCTCTCACCTGGTGCGGCCTGACACAAGAGGAGTTGAGGTTGGGGTATCGCGTCCCAGGGTCTATGGTGTACTGATCAAAGTTTTTGGCAATGTTTTCAGTTGTTGTCTGTGGAAGTAGCCTGTAAATACTCTCCCTATAGAAACACAAAGAAACAAGATACATGGTGTTATTTCCAACGGTATCAGATGACGTAAATATGCAAACACGCACTTTTATATTTCTAAGACATAAAATGTGTGTGTGTGTGTGTGTACCTCTCTGCCAGCACTTCCAGAGCTGTCCGACCCTGAGCCCAGCGGTTTACCATCCAGGCTGTGTCAAAGGCAGCCAGGAAGCCTCTGGCGCAACCCGTGCCCATGGGCCAGAAGGGCTGCACAGGAACACATAATGTGTATGTGATTATAATTGTGTGTCAGCGTACGAGAGGAGACAAAACAACATCAACATCTACATACTTTAAAGCAACAAAATCATTATTGCAAATATTGTGATCAGACTGAAAATCAATTAGCAGCACAAAATATTGTTAGGCATCATATGCCAATATGATTTTGAGACTGTTGACGTTCTTTCTTTTTTAATTTGTCAGGCAAAACAACAGAGACAGACATTACTTATTATACATTGAATGAGACAAGCATTACATTATTAAGGCTCAGGCGATGGGGCTTAAGTGCAAAATGGTTTGTTTTTGTGAAGGCGTAACACCCACCCAGCCGTAGCCATGTTGAGAGGCGTTTGGATGTTCTGTATATGCTCTGAATTCCGAGTTTAGCACATTTAAGATTTTTCTGAGAATGGTGCTTGTCAACTGTGCGCTTCAGGACCACCACAATTATCCAAGTGCTCAGGTGTGTGCATACTGGCAACATCATCATCATCAAGAATGAGTTATTATACAAAGAGGTGGAGGAGCCCACAGACTGAAAAAGGAACATCAACAACAGTTGCCAGCATCGCAAAGGACCTCCGTCTCTTTTCTCACAGACTCTTCACTCTACAGCAAAACATGTCTTTGTGTAACAAAACAGATTGTGGAACAGCTTCTTTTCCTAGGCAGTCAAGCTCCTCAGCATTGTGCTAGATTCTTACACTCACCTGAACTGAACTCACACTGGAAAAAAAAGACATTAAGTGCTTATAATCCGTTTAAAAGAACCCACGCTGCCACGAGGAGAACATGCAAACTCCACACGAACTCCACACCCCTCTTGCTGTGAGGCGACAGTGTTAGCCACCAAACCACTGTGCAGATTTCTTGAAATGAAATGGAATATTTAGGCCTTTCAAGATAAAAAGAGATCTTGAAATAAGCTGGGGAAACTAACTTTGAGCTATATTTCATTAGGAAGTGTTTTATGTCATAATAAGCCTGTAATGCCCAAAAGTAGTATTTTTTCATTTAATAACGTATTCAAAATGCACTGTCTGGAAATATGTTCCTACAGCTCACTGAAATGTTACTTGTTAGTCAATTGTGTCTTATATTAAGTGTTATCAGATATTTTAACTAGTAATTAGACAAATATACTTGGTGAGATTTTGAGTTTTACAGTGCTATTGACGTCTTGCCCTTCTTTACCTCTAGTAGACTGTCGCCAACCAGTGCTACCAGCAGCTGGTGTCCAGACCTCTCCCTGACCAGAGCAGCGTTCTCAGAGGCGTACATGCTTGTGAAGTCAAACATTGCTACATCTGGCTGCCCGCAGTGGTTAATGGCAAAATCCAGCGTGGGAAGTTGGTAGTTGGTGCCAAAGTCAGCAGCCTCTCGGGCGTAGCAAAGAAGAGCTTCCTGGTTGACATTTTGACTGCTCAGCAGCATCTGGGTGTCTATGTAATCCTGTTGAACAGAAGCATGACCGTCAGGAGAAGTTCACACCGACTAAGTCTGAGCTGACCAAGATTATTTTCTTTATGATCTGTTCCCTTTGAATTTTCTAGTAATGCCAAAACTAAATCATTTTTATTATCTTACACATTTACATATACAAAGGGGCTTTTATGAGTACAGATTGTGGACACAATACACTGAAATGAATACAACTAGCCTGGCTGTAGACCACTGAAGTGCGAACCCACATCAACTATTTTGAAGATTCAAAGAGAATAAGTCTGATTATCAGGTTGTATCTAATCAAAACTAATGCAATCATTGGCTGCCATGCTATTTATCTCCCAACCTAAAGAGCTGAAGGGCTGTTGCATTTGATTGAATCATTGATTCGTTTTTATTATGATAAAATGAACAAAACTACGGTTAAAAAAATACGACTGTGAAAAAAGGACACTACGGATCGCTGAACCCATGTTCTGCTTACATTAATGACGACTCCCTTGTCCAGCAGGCTCTGTTTCTTGGCAGTCATGACAAAGTAATGCGTGTTGTCCTTGTAGTACACAATGTTCTCCAGATCGATACCTGCAACAAATGACAATTGACCGAAAAAACTTTAAAAGCACAAAAGGGGGATTCAATTGTTATTAAGGAAACCCATCAGAATCTAATTCATATTCATGGAAGCTAACACCACAGTGAGGCAGTTTGACTGAGCTCCTCTCCCACCTGTCTCCTCTTTAAGGTCGAGAAAGAACTTCTGGTTGAAGATGAAGGCCACACCGCTGATCTCTTCTACTTTGGCTTCAGCAGTGGTGTTCCTGTTGATGAAGTTGGCTGTGATGGCTATCGCCAGTTTCCCCCTGAACTCCTTCCTTTTGAAGCCTGGGAGAGAAAAAGACAAAGTCAGATAACGAATGAAACAGAGAATCAGGAAACAAAAAAAAAAGAAAAAAAGAAGGGGCCAAGCAAACCAGTCCAATCTGCTTGTCTGTCAAAACCAAAAGAAATCTAGCCTTAAACCATAATTACATGGCAGTTATTTCTGGATAAGAGGCAGCTGAAGGTAAGCCTTTATATAGCCGAGGGAACAAAAGCCATGGATTGTAAGAAGCACCAGGAATTAAATCCTATCATCAAAGTTAAAAGGCTTTTGTTCAATTAACCTTCGGAACTGCAAGTGTAGTAAAGGTTGTAGAACATCCATACCATACAACAGTCTTTCATTTTGTTCAGAGTTTTTAGAAAGAAATTTAATTTTATTCATATCTTCACAAAATAGGATACAAACGATGCGGCGCAATACTGAACCAGGTCAATAGATTTTTTGACAACAGTCTATTTGAAATATTGTGAAAGACAATACAGGGACACAGGAGCAGAATTCAAAAGGTTCTTTCAATGCTAACTTTCAATCAAATCAAACATTAACACCCAGGTTCAACGTTTCACTGCTAGATTTTCAAAATGACATTTTCAAACCAGCAAGAACTCACCAACAATGTCACTAATCTAAAGCTGTACGAGCAGTAAGGAAAAGGAAATGGATTGGTTGCTTACTACAAAGTGATGTATGAGAGAGTGAAAGTACTTATTTGGGGCAGAGGTTAAACGGCACAACTCCTACATGATGTCACTGTTTAAAATCTCAGAGGAGCTTTTCCCCTCTCCGTCTCTTCTTTGCAGTGCAGATCTGATTGTATTTAACTCTGCGTTACCGTAGCTAGGCCACAAAGGCTGCTCAAAAGCAGGCTGACTGCAGGGGAAAATCATTTCCCCCAGGCTTCATCATAATTGAAGAATGAGCTAAACAGCTTGTCCTGGCCAAAAATGCCCTTTTTAGGAATAAGCATCTGATGCGAATTGGTTGTTAGATGACAGCATTTTTAGGAGGGAGACCGAAACAGAGGGACAAAGAGTCAAAGAGAGTCCAGCGCTATTGCATCAGCTACTTCATCGAGCCCAAGCTCGCCTCTATTTATGTACAGAGTTTGATGAATAACCTTTGCCAGTGGGAGAGATAAATGGCTTCAAACAAGTATAAGTTTACAAAAGGTGATCGTCATTTATAGCTTCACAACAGAAATAATGCAGCACAAGTTGTTCAAAGTGAGAGTCCAGAAACATTATTCAGTAAACAGAAGATATGCTGGGTATTATCCTCTAAAAAAGGCTTTCTTGCTCCAAGTGATGCTTCAGAGATTTTCACAATAATACAAACACATGAACATGGACAGCCCTTAAAATAAAGTCACATGTACTATATATATTTTAACTTCTTCTTACTTCCTTGACCAGACACAGGTAACTTTATATCCTCAAGTACATCCTTGAGGCATCTTTACTGTTCACCCCTTTTGTTTGCAGGCTTCTCACCTTCCAGAGTATTCCTTCGTCCGTCAGCCCCCACCACGACATCAAACTCAAAGTTAGCCACGGGGTGATCAGCAGGTCGGATTGCAGCCCTCCACCCAAGCCCTGAGAGATGGAGACAAAGACAGAGAAGGATTAAGACACATAATATAAATCCGAGGATTATTTCCTTCGTGTTGTAGTTCAACAATCAGCCCGTAGAATGTCAACTGATACAAGCTTGGTACTTTTGCTTAAGGACAGTGTCTCAGTCAAGACAGATGTCAGCAGAGAGAAATATAATGGCACACTTAAACACTGATGACATTGTGTTGCTACGATGCCGGTGAAATGCGGAAAGATTTAGCTTTTCATGAGATGTATTACAAAGGAATGCTGAATGAAAGCCAACTGGATCCGGCCTGCCACCTTGACTAACGAACAAAACATTGTTTCAGATGTAATATTAGTTGTTTGAAGTAGGGCAGTGTGTGTGGCACAGGAGCGTGTGAGACCAGCACAGTAACGGTTTGGCAGTTTGTTGTGTAATATCGCCATGTGGAAAATGCATTCCATGATGTCAAGGGCACAGCTAAGTTCGTCACAGCAGAACAAGAGGGATAAGTCTGTGTCTAAACTTAGGCAAGGCTCTCGCTGTTATCAGTGTAAAGTTATTATAGCTGAGGAGACAACACCTGACTACAGCATGTAAGTTATTTTCTTCCTGAGAGTCTAAAGCCCATGTGAAGTGCTGAATGTCAGAAAAACATCATTACATGAGAGTTGAAGATATTACCGCTGCATTTTGCTTTAAAAAAAGGGAACAATGTTTATTTATTGGTATTAATGTGATAGGTGGGTGCTGTATACAGCAGGCATTTGAACAGTAAAGTAAGTCAATATACTTGACCTCTGCAAACTTCATCTAAATATGATGAAAAACTAGATCAGTGCCAATGTTTGTCTCCTGTTTATTAGTGGCTGTCAATGAAATTAAATACTGCAGGTTGAGAAGTCCCTTGCTGCCTCACAAGCAGAGCAGAGCACTAAAATACAATGTGGGAGAGTAAATACAGACCCTCCAGTAAGCTACACAGTATCTGTCTGACAAACTGATGTAGCTTTATCCTGCTGCTCAAATCTCCTTATCTTCCCAAAACTTGCAGATCATAAAACATCTGTCAGCGGGTGAATAAAGCACTGTCGGGTCTATTGTTTGGACGTGTGCAAGGATACCTTCATTTTCCTGATCCTCTGGAGGTTCCAACAGCGACACAAACTCCACATTGATGTGAAACTCCACTGCAACAATCAGAGCGACCTTCAGTAGGACCAGCTGCAGCTTCTGAATGCCTTTTAGACACAGACGCACACATCAGTGTTTCATACAGAGTAAAGTCATTGTATTTAATAATATAATCATTTTCTTTCTTTATTTCCTTCTCTTAGAAGTGGTTTTAGAATCAATCGATCAGCTCCATTTATGGTCCACTGGACTTAACCATGAAAAGCAAAAAAAACAGCAGCGTGCTTTGTTTCTGTAAAGTCAGATACTCACTGATGTGGTCTATGGCCCCTGCGCAGAATTTGCCATAGAACTTTTTGGCCCCGAGGCCCCGTAGGTCATGAATGGTGTAGGGCCAAAGGTGCAGCACGTTGTTCCTGGCGAAGGAGTCTCTCTTCTCAATCACCACCACTTTGGCACCCATCAAAGCGAGCTCGATGGCTGTCCGCAGGCCACAGGGGCCTCCTCCGATGATTAAGCACTAAATAAAAGAGAACGACAAATTGACCTCATTACTTACACAAGGCACAGAGACATGAGCTACATCATGGAGTCGTCTATAATCACAGACGGCTCCGACTTTTCCTGCAGAAGAGGCCGAGATGAAAAATGGTTCACTGCTTACTAGTTTATTAACATGCCAGGGAGCGTTATAACATCTACATACATCATCACAGGAAGCAGCACTTTACTGCCCCTCTGGAGCATTTAGAGGCCAAGTGTCTCACTCAAGGACACTTCAGCAGGATAGACTATGACTCCGAGGATCATTGCAGCCTTAAGATGACTTCTCCAGACCTTCATGTGTGTGCAAGGATTGTTAGTAAAACATAAAGAGAGTTTACACAACCCTGAAGCAGTGCATTCATCAGGACATGGCCAAGAGGAGGAACATCAACCGAAACCATTATTACAACCTTTACATATCTAAGGTTCGTTAAAAAAATGCATGAAGTCAGTTGGTTGAGGTTACGGCGCCTGTCTGAGAATGTGTGGCTCGAACATGACATCATCCTCTTGAGAGATAGATGAAAGGAGTGACGCACGTGTGCTGGAAAACTCTATCTTCTTTCCTTCTAAACATGTCAAGAGGCATTATAGAGAATTGTGGAGAGAGGAGATGTGTGTGTGTGTGTGTCTTTATTCTTGTGACATTTAATCCAGAACCAAACCACTTCTGAAGGTTCCCCCTGCTGTGCTGAACAAGGTGGACAGTCTCCTGTCTGGATAGCCTCACCAAAATAGTGCTGAAGGTATCTTTTCTTTCACCTTTTCTATGAAAGACTCCCAACAGCACAAAGAGCTACCACTCTGCCCGACCTTCCCACCAGCATGCACACAGGGGTTTGCAGCATATTTGAACAGGAGGACTCACTTGCAATCCTGTGCGTCCACCAACACGATGACACACAGTGAGCATAGTGCGATGAGGGTGCCATCCGCCCATATCCCTTCTGTGAGACAAAAACACTGGGGGCTGATACACAGTACCCAGTGTGAGTTCCCAAATCATACCCTAAATGGCTCTCTGCTCCTGTACCAAAAACAAGATGTTTGCGCTTTAGTCACTCCATATTCTCCCTCTGTGGGTGTGTGGTTAAACCTTGTGGTGGCTTCACAGCGGATGTGGGTGATGAGGAACACAGGGTGTCATCATGTGTGGCCTGAGGTTATCAGAATGAGGTATTTTCAGGTGTGAAACACACACACACACACACACACACACAGGTGGTGGAGGCGCTGCCTGGACAAGCCTTCCTGCTGGCTACGTTTTTTTTGTCTCAACAAAAAGGTGAGTAATTGTATTATTTACACCGCCAGAGACAGTGATAGAAGGATGCTGAAAACGTAATTTACGTGCACAGTACTAACTCAGTTTATTCAGATGGACGTTCACAGTGTGCACATTTTTATGTAAACTGTATTCATCCGTCTATCAGCCATTTGCAGTAACAGGCTGTTTGTTTAAGCCCGTTTCCATGGATATATTATTCCAGATATGAGGCTTTTGCTGACAGCTTGCTCCATATCTGTTGAGTCAGGACACACTAACTTCCTTTCAACTTCCCACTTATGACCTCGCTCTCATCCCAGCTCCACCTCGCCCTGCTCACATTTGTCCCCCGCCTTATTAATGAACCCTATCCGTCAGTCAGAGTGTCACTGTTTACCTTTTCATCTCAGCTGACAGTGTGGCTAATACAAGCAGCTCTTTAACTATCACAGCATCTTCATTTAGATGTTAGGACACTAGAGCTGCAACTAAACAACAATGTTATCAATTCATCTTTGTTCAACCATCAGTCACAAGCCCATGAATATTTTGTTTACTGTTATATTTAACAAAGAAAATCTGCAAATATTCACATTTGAGAAGCATTGTGCATGAAATATTTTGTAAATGATTTTTCAATGAGTCTTCATACTTGACTAATCATTTCTGCTCCACAGGGAACACAAACAATACAACACAAGTGTGAAACTGTCTGACAAAGTGTGACAATATCTGATATCTGTGCAGCAAACTGAATCGGGGCTCAACATGGATCCGATGGAGGTGAAAGTTGTCTTCCCTTTAAATTAAATTTGAAATAAAACTAGATATCTTGAATGCACTTCTTTTGTTGACTCAAGATGTTTTACAGTCTCGGGGTTAAAAGGGGCAATGTGTCACAGGGCTCTGATTAAGTCTGCCGAGAGTGATTCACAACATCACATTATAAAAAAAGATAAATTTGCAATGTATTTGTGCACAGTGAATCCTTATGAGGAAGAATTGCACGGTGGTTATGAGGCGGTGTCACAGCAGCCAGCTGTGTCGCGCCATAAAACACGGATGACATCACATCCTTTAAAGATTGCTGCTACAGTGGATATATGAAGGCGAGGCGCCGAGTGATATCACATCTGTCACTGTTAAAGTGCTGAGTTGCCATAAAACCATGTGTCGTCACCTTGTGATTCTCCCAGGGAGAGGAGAAATTAGTTATCAAGTAAAAGCAGAATGTCGCTCCACCACAGAGTGATTAAAACGGGCTTCATACTGCACTTGTGCTGCATATGTGTGGAAATTAATAAGCAAAGAAGAAAAAATTCACAATAAGTAAGTGTTTTAATAATGCACTGTTTGTACATCTGGTTTACTACTTTGGTGCCACTAAAGCAGTAGTATAGTACCAATTTTCATTTTATAAGACAACCCTGTGAACTGAAAGCTTTTGGCTCAGAAGTTTAGGGAAAGTCACACTTTCTTCAAACGTTTACCTTGTTTCTTCCTATTTTGGTGTTGGCTTAAAGAACCTGTAAAACTGAGCTCACACTGGAGCTTTTAAAACACACTTTAATAACAATCTGGGCCTTGCTCCAACGTTGTAGGAAGAGCCTATAAAGAGCAGAGCACACCCTCAGAACAACTGGGGCCAAATAATCATAGTTGCTGAGTGATGCTGTCTGTTTCTCTGCGCAGTAAAAACAAGCTGGAGGCAGCTGATGCCTGAAAGGTAATCACACTCCTCCAGATTTTCCTACTTTCCCTCATCACCTTTACTGCCAAGTGCCCCCCCCCCCCACACACACACACCCTGACACGGTTTCTTTGTCCCGAATGCAGCCATCTCTTCATAATTCAAGTCAAGGAGAGCTCCTCAATAGCTCTATTCTTAGATGTGCTTAAGGAATTTGTCTTTTGTCTATAATTTCTTCTCTGACTGTTTGTGTTATTTAGCTACAGAGTTGGATGAAGCAGTGCACAGCTGTCACTGTGTTTTTCTTCTTTATAAAACTCTCTGTCATGTTTCATTTATGTGAACATCTGTTGCTTGTTGGGTTTGATGTACAGTGTGTATGTTTCTTAGCTGTGATGTGTATCATTTTACTGTTTACATGGCTAAATGCATACATATGACGGGTACACTGACGGTTCAGTGATGCATTTGTCCATGATATAATTTAATGTTTGTATTCCATTCTGTGCAGCTCTGTCATGGAGCACCTGTCTGAGAGGGACAGAACAATTGCAAAGCAATATCTCTTTAATTTCCTGTCCTGTATGTTGGGAGCTGTTGCAGTGAAAGAGTGAGTGTTGATGGTTTGTGTCTGGGCAGGAAAAGTTATATATATTATATCTATAGAACTCTGTAGGAGTACTTAAACAGACAGAGTGCTGATTGTTTAAAACTTTTAGACCTTTTTAGGATTTCAGGCTTTAAAAAGGACCATACAGACACGTTTTAGCCGTGCTGTCTGTGCTGCTTTCAGTGCACAAAACACATTTTTACTTTTCAGCACACAATGAAAATGAACTTGGACAGACATGCTTGCGATAGATAACCAGAGTGAACATTTAGTCAGCTCCATCATTGTGATGTTACTGCAGTGGAAAACTCTGCTATTGTAGCTGAAAACTAATTTACATTTACAAGCTAAAGTATATTTGTAAAGCAAATAAGAAAGATGTGTATTGTATCTTGTATTTAAAGTCTGCTGTTTGGCAGAAACACTCTGGGATAGTGGAGGGTCCTTGATTGCACCACAAAGAAGACTTCTTAAAATAGATGCGTGTCCACACAAAAACAATTAAACAAAACACAGTGCACACTTGGTCCATGTGAAAAGAAACAAATCACCAATATTAATACCAATCATCAATATCTTTGTGGCGATACAAAGTTATAATTAAATGTACCTTGGTGCCCACACAGGCTTGGCCTTTCTTGTACTCCTTGTGGGACGTCTTCTTGTCTAGTTTACTCCATAGTGCTTTGGCCTTCCACGAGGTGGCCTTCGCCTTCAGACTGCTGTAGAAGTTGACATTGTCCGCGGGGTCGATGTCCAGCCTCCTACAGAGAACGTTGAAGGCCTGAAGGGCTCCCTTACAGGTCGAGGTCTGAACAAAGTCCTCAAACAGCTTCCCCACATTGTCCTTCTCCTCCTCTGTCTCTCCCATCTTTCCCGGCTGCAGTAGGTGGTTTAGTGTATCGAGGCTCCTGCTTACTTCAGCAGTCTCTGCCTGATGTGGTCACACCCTCAGCTTGGCCCTCGCCATCATGCCCAGTCTGTGGAGGCAATACACAAGAGTCTGATGTCATCTCATGGCAGAAAATCACTCACAGATGGCTTTTCGCTTTTTTCCCCCCATATTCTATTATTAGCCTAATAAAATAGACATGTTTCATTACATTATTTCATTTAAATGGTTTATAGATTAGACTGTAGACAGCTGTATTTCATCTTCTCCATGACTCAGGCTTACATTTTAGAATTATCAAGAGGGCACTCAGTACCAGTCCTCATTTAGAGTCGATATCTTAGTCACCATGCAGTAAGCTCACACCCACATTGACGAGATAACATTTCAAGTAGGAGAGAAACTCAAGAAAAAAATGTACAACGAGCCAGTGTGTTGTCGTCAGACAGCTGTCGAGCATATTCACGACTTGTACTTTATAGAAGCATAACCCTGTGGCCTATAAAAAGGAGTCGTTTGTGGTTCTTGATACTACTTATTGGTTTATTAACAGAGAACCAAACTTTTCAACAGCTTCAGGGTTCAATGATAGCTTCACACAGAACAAAACTGGTGAAGTTCAATGGACAAATAGTCAAAAGGACCAGGACCTTGCTAAAACTGTAGCATTTTTGGGATGAGCTTCAGCTGTGTATGTTTGTAGTACTGTCTGGTATTGTATGCAATATATATTTTTTTAATCAATAAGTCCTCCATATGTTAGTATAAACTTTCTTAATTGCAGTGACGGCTAATTTTTATGGCTCCAGGGAGTCAAAAGCTCTATAAAAATAACATTTCTACTGTATATTAACATGGGTAAAAAGTGGTTTCCTTATTATTGCAACCTGCAAGGAATGCAAAGCTTTCATTCCTGGTGTGCAGCACTGACCATGGAGGAGTAGACCGGAAAAGTATTTGTCTTGTGGTATTTTTCATTCCAGCTGAAAACCAGACAATGTTTTCAGCTGTAGAAAGAGAGGACTTTGAAGTCAATTATAATACAAACCCACACTAACACAGATTGATTGGATTTGATTGGGTATGCGTGCTAAACAGTCCACCTTCTACTGAGGCATGGACATTCAGTACGCTTGCATATGAGCCTGCGTGGGAAAGACACCGTCACTAAAACAAACGCTTGTGTCAGAATAGCGCTGAACCGAATGAAATACAATGCAGTTTATTTTTCCTCCAATCAACCATTAAGCATTTTGAAAACCATGCCCAAAAAAAAAAAATCTGTGCCAGAACTCAACGTCAAAGCAAAACGTGGACATTTTCTGCATTAAGCGTGTGCGTGCTCACTTGGGTGGAGACCACAGCTTCTCTGAGTTTTGGGTTAAGTCTGCCTTTGATATTTCAATGTCCCATGGAGCGGGATGGGCAGGGTTAGAGGAGTGGGCAGGCTAGCTGTGCAGGACTCTAACAGCCCCCCACAGTAATACCATTTACTGTCACACCCCACCCCAGGGCCTCAGGTGGTAGTGTGACTGTACGATGAAAGTGGTCACAGAGACCTTTAGCCAATGCAAAGCGCAATGCAAAGTGAGTTGCAACATTCGATGACCCTTCAGTCTTGGGTCACAACATGTCCGATTGTGATTTGAATGCGGTAAGATTTTGAATATTGCTCCTACAGCAACAGTGTTTGTCCCCAAGCTAAAATTAGCATATTAATTTGCACAACATCCTGTTTGGCTGTGTGTTTGCATCCTGTTTTCAGAAAAAGATTCAGGCAGAGAAAGGAACAACAACCAGGCCGTAGAAATGCTGTACAGCCAGGTGGACCTCCAGTCTGCTCGATACACCTTTGTAGCTTCAAAAGGCCCCTGTCCTGTGGGTAGATATTGTGGGCCCCCGAGGCCTTTCACAGCAGGCATTCAGCCTCAAAACTCTGAGGTCTGACATTCCTTTGCCACGTGCATAGAATAGCCCTGAACCGCTCCGTCAGCATGAGTCCAATACTCTGCAAGCCCTCTCACTGGCTCCCCCAGACAGATAGGCACACGACCACCTCCATGGCTTTTTCACTCTGACTGTCAATGAGTGACGAGCGATGACTGAGACAGGCATGATATAAGATGCAGGTGCTTTAATCTTTCATGCATGGCAGCAGACTGTGGTGGGAAAATTGCTGTGTATTCTAGCATGTGGAGCGTTTGGGGCCTATATAATATCTTCTAAACGCTTCTGTGGAGTCATTTCATTGACAGTTGAGTTTTTAATTATTTTGTTTGAGGTAGTGAGATGTAAGTTTATGCCTAAAAAAGGACAAAATGTATTGTGCCGCAAAAGAAAACTTACATTTTTACAACTGCTGTTTGTGGCTGTTTTTCCACAAAAACCCAATTAATTTAATGTTTAAATTGTTAACATACTATTCTAAACTTTGGCCAGTGTTCAATAATTTAATGGTAAATTTAATTAAAGACATGTTGACTGCATTTGTGCTTTCACGTTTCAGTCCTAGTAAAGAGGTAAAAAAAAGGCAGAACTATTGGAACCATCTGTTGTACGAGTCCTCGAGGACTAATGAAAAGGTACCACTTACTGTCTTCATAGCCAAGTCAATGCTCAATACTCAAACTGCATTATCTCAGACAGAGTCCAATGACTTCACCATCTCAGTCTGACAGAATGGAAAGTCACTTGTGGGCAGACAGAACAAACCCACAGAACGGCTGTAAAAATACAACTAATGACAGACAAAGCGGAAAGAGTACACACACACACACACACACACACACACACACACACATCACAACTGACCCATATAATGCTTAAGAGGATCAGAGAGTTTAATAGCGAGCAGGTTTTAAGTTTCTTGTCTGTTTAGAAAATGATCTGATTGAGTGAAACCGTCTGTGGCTAATTGAGAAAGTTCACGACAGTGATTCATTTCTTTGTCAGCAGCGAGGAATTTGTACAATGCTAAATTTGGTTTGATAGTTTTATTTAACAATTCACGCACTTCTATCTCCTGATATTGTATGTATCATTTTACCATTACTCATGTAATTACTTAACTGTATATCGCACATTGCCCAAAGAGAACAGTGTCTACTTGGATGCGTGATCAAGAATGAAAGCACTGCTGTGTGTCCGAGAGACAAAGCAAGCTATTGGTTCCAGTATGACAGAAGGGAATGTTAGGAATGTGAAAAATGTACCTGTTACACCTTGATGATAACACAAACATGCACATGTACACTTTTATAAAACGCACATATCCTGCCACATTTATGGGAAACAGACACACATATTTCTTATGATGTCAAACTGTTTCTTTTTCATACATTAATGGTGTACAACATGGATGGCCAGACAAGGAACAACCACGTGAATTTCAAGTCTCGGAGAACAAAGCTGGCACTATTCTACATTTTTCATAATGTCAACAAACCCCATGAAAACCAACAATGTGTTACGTCTGTGACACTCTTTCCTCTAAAGACTGAAATCTTTAAAATTGGGTCAGAAATGTATTTGTACATTTTTTTTTTTTTTTAAAAGCTAAAGGATTTCATAAAACAGCTGGGTAATGTAGTTTTCAGCCAGAATGACTCAAACGGAAGTAAATAGCACATCTGTTGGGGACTATATTTAGCAGTGTATAAATATACACGTGGGCCACTTTTGAGTATTTACAACACAGTACAGCAACGATGAGAGACTCAAAATAAACTACTTTATTTTTGACCACGGCACAAAAGAATATGACACTTTGGCTACACAAACACTTCGTACGATCAATGTATTGTTGTTTTTGTTCTTTTCATTGAATTTGCTAATAAATTACTATAGCTTTTTAGCATTCTTAACCCAAAATAATTAATTCTATACATTTACAGTATATGACCACCTCATAACAGGCCATGTGTTTTGACTCTGACAGTGAACCAAGTGTCAGACCAGTGACGCAATGTCTTCATTTGTTTTTGCAGAGCACGTAGCTTCAGGCTATCAGGATACAATAGGAAGCTGACAACACAAGGAAAACATTGGGAGTGCTGGGAAATGCACAGACTGTAGTGCAGCCAGCCAGCGACAGTAATTACAGAGTGGACTGAAGAAAACCAGGAAGGAACCCTCTGTAGGCCCGATAAGCAGGCAGCGTGCCTCAGAAAACAGTGCACTCATGTGGACTTCAAGCCCGCAGGCTCTGCCCTCCACCGGGCCCCAGAGATCCACAGTATTATCTCAGCCCTCGGAAATCTGACTGCGTGTTCGGGCAGCAGTGCCAAAACAAAAGAAGATCTGTCACAAGCGAGGTAGAAACACTAGCATAATGCGGTGAATGCCAGTCAACTTCAGAGGAGAAAACCTGTTCATTTACACAAACAGGAGCAGGCTTGTGGAGCTTCAGGGCTGCTGTCTGCAGGGCCGTCCGGCCCACGAGCTGTGTTCACCACATGGCTCCTTTGGAGAATGATTTATCTGGACACACTGAGCACAGACCAGCGCCTGCTCAGCTACAGACACAAACAATTCACTTGAACAATTATTCTGACCCCAACTACACCTTCTGGTGTGTTACAATTAGTCTACTGAATGTGTTATCATTTACAGTGAGTCCAATGTTTTAAAATAAAGACAAGTGGCCAAGGGAAACACATTCACGCAGCCATCAGAACTTTACCAGCTAGTGAACTTGGATCCTCTTAAGAGCCAAAAATGCAGTAAATATAAACCACAAGGCGAAGACAGGCTGCAAACTGAGTGGCACTGAAGGTCAAAGATCAGTGGGCATCATTCATTCGTTCATATTACAGGGGGGCACCGTGAAGGTTTAGATGGCGGTATTACTGCCGAGCAGGAATAGCCAATCCTGTAAGCCAACAATCAGTAAAGCCAGGCTCAGAATAGACAAGCATCATGTTGCAGAAGCAAACAGCACATGACATGAGAAGATATCAACAAGACTGGACCCTGTAAACAGGACTGCCTGAGATGAAAACAAAACTGTTCAAAGTTCAAATCAATGCCAGTCAAGGGTTCACCGGTGTTCAGCAAGCAGGGCCTGGCTGGTAGCCACACAGACTGAGGCCTCTCACAAAACCAAATGTTACGTTGGACACTGTCGACTTTCTGCAACAACAGGAGTGTTTTTGTAGTTAAACTGAATCGTGGTGATGTGCTGAGAAGGAGACACGATGCCTTATTTTACATTTCAAAAAGCTCTGAGTGAAAGCTCCCTGAGACGCCTCCCATCCAGACTCATCCTGCGGAGTGCGTCTGGTTTCCTGTCCAGATCAAAGCTGTAAAATTCCACCTCTGTGACTGTAAAGCATGACTAAGATGCGTTTAAACCCCTTTTCAGTGCGCTGCTGTCCCTGACCAGATGGAATGGGTTAATGATATCCTGCCGTGAATTTACCACAGCAAAGTCTCCTTGTACCTCCTTCAGTGGCTGCATTTTGTTAATGTGCTGTTGGTTTGGTTGTTAAATGTCCCCACATATCTTGAAATGTAGCAACGGCTTTACCAAAGCAGAAATCATGCCTATAGCAGGCGACAAAGAACAACGTGCCCCACCTATCTCTGGGAGTTCCTCTATCGCTTTTGTGTCGCTGATGCCTGGACGCATGTGTCCGTTTTTATGCTGTGGAACAAGGAAGGAAACATATTGCGGAGAGGAAGGAGGAAGTTTACAACACCTCCCTGGCAATAATGAGCACAAGCTTCCACTCACAGTTAGTTTATCGGGCTGCGTGAGACACAGTTACATTGTTTTCATCCACAGCATGACGTCCTCACATATCTTTATTACTGATGTATTTACGGATTCATTCATTCACTAGGGCTTTCAATCATGGATTTATCCATTTGTCCGCAGTATTTGCTCATTTGTTTACCTGTATGCAAGAGGCTGAACCCACTGTCTCATAATGTGACAATAAGAGCAGCTTAAAAGACTGAAGCAGGCATTAAACCGCCGAGATCTTACAGGCGAGTCGTGCATACGCAACACACAACTGTGTGTCAATGTTGCAGGACTGAGAGTCTGAAATGATTTGGTGACTTATCTACAATCATGATGTGTAAAAAATGAGGTTGTAAATATCGGTTCATCATTAATGCAGGCCTTCGTTTGGCTGCATGATTGGAGATAAAACAGCATTACAGATCGTTCCTCCTATCTTAAACTTCAGTAAAGCCGGTAATTACAAACTACAAATGGAAGGCTGGAACAGGAATATGCAGTTGTAAGCAACTGAAGCAGGGTTGAAGCCGATGCTAAGTCATGCTGAGAGGGGTTTTTTCTGACATTTTGATAACAGTCAAAGGACCGTTTGAAAAATGTGGAAGTTTGAATGTCACTGATATTTAGAAAACAAATTACTTCACATCACATGTCAATGTGAAGTGGTTTGCTAAACCGGTTTCTCACTGCGTTACAGTGAAGTCCAGGACATCATACAGCCGTGTGATCTCCAGATGTTTCTATGTTCTCTCGGCTCTAAGGTACAGTAACTATTTATTAAAAGCAGGAGAAGATGATTCTGTAATCATGGAGCATGGTCACAACATAAGCCTTGCAGCTATTTGGCAAAAACACAAGAGGGCTTGATAAGGCATTCGCCAAAGGACTACTTATCTTATTGAGCAATACACTGTTTACATTGTCTTTCCACATATTTATATCATAGCACATGAATGACTCAAAAAATGGTTTGTGGAGAGGGAAATTCCAGCAAGGGGAGAATAATGTAGTTGCTGTTGAATGTTGATGCGCAGAGAGGTTGTTAATCACCAGGAGCATAAATCACATGGACCATCAGTGTCTGGGCCAGATAATATGTATGAGCACTGTTTTTAGATGTTAACACATTCACTGGCAAAGTGACTCTGTAATAAAGTTTGGATCTTATGTTTGGTGGAGAGCAGCTCAACAGTCATAAAAGTACACAGGAAATGATGGCTCACACAGCAGTGGGATGGAGATCTACCACTGTTTGTATGACTCTTTTGACCTCCCTTTAAAATGTTGCTGAACAAATCGTGCATCATCTTGTAAGACACGTGAATCACACCAGACTGACTGCTCATTGTAGGTTGAAATGTGGAAGAAGCTTTGTTTGCTCATTGCTCCGAATTTGAATCTGGCCATTTGTTCCTGCTTCAACACCTGAAGCAAAGGTATGTTGACCTGAAGTCAGACTAGAAAACATTAACAGTAGCAGTTTCTGTCGCTCACTGAGCTTCATTCAGTAACCTGACACCACACCTTTCAGAACGATGCAGTTTGTGTCATTACATCCCAAAGACAGTATTAACAGTCTGGAGGCTGCTCAGCAGGTGGAGTCAGCCTTAAGAAAGGCTGAAAATAAAAAAAATTTAAACTTGCGGCAGAGTTCATTAACTTGTAGCTTCCTCACTGCTTATAGTTAATGGTGGGATTACAAAAGATTAAAAAAACAAGTGCTGATTGTAACCTGGATGTACCTGGTTCTACTCTTTCTACTGTCTTTGAACGTACAGAAAAGCTGGAAGTCCACTTTTGAATGGGTTTTTGCCTTCAGGCATGTTTAAAAAAAAAGAAGTTACGCAGTCAATCAAAAGTGATTTAAAGGTGATTTGTGGTACAAACAGCAGAACAAAAACACAGGTTGCGCAAGTAGAGAGAACCTTTTTGTTAACAGGGAGCAGAGACAAACCCAGATGCCTGACTCCTCTCAGACAACGTTCACAATATCAGAATAACACAACGAGGTTCAGCACTTGTTCATAAAACTCCAAGCTCAACTGAAACAATCACACCTTGATTACTGCACAACAATTCAGCATCATCTCAACATCGACTCCCTAATTGATAATTATGTATAGGCTAATGGCCGGTGTTAGTTCCTACAGTGAACCGTGGGCTACTTGGATGAGAGCCCCTGTGCCTTAACTTTTAATACAACCTTGCCTGGCTGTGATATAGCTTTTGTCAAACTTATTGTTGAAATACAGGTCATATTTTCAAAGAAGGAAAACGGCACTTCTGTCAGGTGTCCCAACATGATCAGGAAAGACACAAACATTACAAGGATGAAAACAAAAGAACTAACCTCATAACTCAAACCCAATCCAAGCTCTTCTTCCCTTGCTGTGTGAAGTTTGTCGCTCCTCAGTCAGCCGGCTGACAGGCAGCAGTCTCTCTGTGCGGCTGTGTCCAGTGTTTGAGGGCGGGGCTGCAGGATCGGACACATCCCACAGCAGGCAGCCACTGTGGCGGCTGTTTAGTCCACAGGATCCCGAGTTTGTCACGTCAAAGACAAAGTTCACTACTTTAAGCGACCACCCGCCGTCTGCTGACAGCCTGAGAGTTAAGTATGGTTATATACCCACAGGGATAAATGACGACTCATTCAGGTTGGGTTTATCGGGTTGAATCGAATGTGGTCCGATTGCAACTCTAAGAAACGGGATAGAAATAAAAGCTTGGCCTCCAGCATTAAGTACTTTAAGATACAAAAAGGTTATTTAAAAAGGTATGTGCAAAGAGCCTAGCTGATATAGCTCCAAAATATGGCAATAACGCAATGAAAATATAAAGTAGCAAACAAAGCCGGCTTTTCAGGTGCGGTTCCTCGTTTTTCACGTGACCGCAGTCAGTCAACACATTATACATTTTACAACGTGTCAGCAGAAACTATAGTCTACGCAGCACATGGACAAAACCATTGAACAAACACAGCGAACGTGCGCGTACAAAGTTAATTCCGTGGCCCGGGTATATTTACCATGAAAGCAAATGACGCCATCTTGTGGTCAGATTGTGAAACTACACTATGCAGAGAGTCTGGTTAAATGCATCATTTCACCTCTAAATATGAAACGTATTTTGATACTTACCTGAAGTGACCGTGCCAATTGTTGCGGTTTAATGTGTCTCACCTGTCTGCCCCTTTTACAAAACAATGGAGACGGGTCTGTCTGTGGCGGTGCTCAGCACATTAGGAAACGGTGTCCCAATTTCAGAACACGTGTTTGAACCTGTAACGTTGCACGTTTTTAATGCGGACTATTTCTTTCCCCGAAATTTGTTCCCATGAAAACTGCCCACAATTATTATTGGCTATCACATTTATTTCCCCAGTTTTGTGTCATATAGCTCAATATGAATTATTATGCACTTATGTACTGACTTGTAGAGATAGCATTTACCTCGCGTACTAATTTAGAATGGTGGTTAAACTCGACCGGAACTATGCTTTAGGTGTGCACGTTATGGCCCAGGTCAAGTTTATCGAACACTATAAGAGGTATTTACAAACGAGTTTTTTTTTTTTTTTTCCATCATCTTAAAACCAGCTAATGCGAGTTTGTACCTGTTTAGCAGATTATGTTATGGAGATGAACATGTTTGAGGTGATGACCCCTCAGTGATGAGACGCATCAGCTGTGTGGTGCCGCTGTTTGTGTTTCTCAGCATCACCGCCACACCCTCAGAGTGCAGCAGCAGCAGCAGCAGCAGCAGCAGCAGCATGATGCGAGTCGCCCTGCTAGTTTTGGCTCTCACAACAGTCTGCCATGGCATCCTCCCTGAGATAGTGCACTCAGACTTCATTCACATCCTTGAGGATAATTCCGCCCAGGGACAGACGGAGCTGGACCGCTTTGTAGAAGTGGAGCAACTGCCAGAAGATCCGCAGCAAAAGCCCGAGGATGCGTTCCACCAAGTAGGCAGATATTTAGCTTTTTACAGGAGATAGCATTATTTCACTGCTCACTTCTGAAAACAACCATTGGTTGGTGGCTGGTATAATGATAATCGTTTAATGGGACTGAAATAGTTAGCATTATATCTCTGGTGGGAAATATAAAAAAAGCTTAGAGGCAGCAGTGGAAGGAGCTAGAATATGGGAGTGACTTCTTAATGCATCTCTTAACCTGAAATCTGTCTCTGATAATCCCTCTGATTCTTCCAGAGGAACAACGAGAGCGTCGGTGCCAGCCCTCATCCCGATAACCTTCCTCCAAGTCATCACAATGAAACCGCTTCCGATAAAGTTATTGACAATGAATATGTCCACACCTCAGTAGAACCGGTGAGCTTGAGAACAGTAAACAAAAAGTGAGATGGTGTTTGTTTCCCTTTTGTGAATGAAGCTTAACAGATGTCCCACCTTCACACAGGAGACAAACAACATTACCACATATGTCAACTCTAGTGACCTGGGGAACAATATTGATCATGTAAGTATATTCTGTTTACGTAATGATGTTCAATACAGTCCAGACAATCTTGAAGCAGAACTCTTGTGTGCTTTTCATGACCTTTGACTGCTCAGTTTGAATTTCTCAATGTGGAAAGGCCTTAAGATTGCGTAACATCTATCAGGAGCATTCCAGCCACTGACACAGCATGATGTCTGCAAAATAATCCAACCGTGTGTGTGTGTGTGTGTGTGTGTGTGTGTGTGTGTGTGTGTGGTGCCTTTGGATTTTCAATCAGCTCTAATCATTTTTTTGGCTGCACTATGTTTGAAATCAAAGTGGCTGATGTGGCTGATCCGTGTGGATGTGGCTGATCCGTCAAAAATGATGACTGTACAATGTTGTTGATAAATAAGTGATGAGGTGTGCTTAGGCTGCTTGTAACTGGAATACACTTTCAGGATTAAACTTCTGCAACACTGACTTAGAAACATTATTCACAATGTAGTTGTATAAAAGCCCAGAGCAACTTTCTCTGATGATGTCTTGTATATGGCTCAGATTGTGGAAACGCATCAGATTAAACATTTACCTTAATCTTGTCAGAATAATAAAGATGTGGATCATCACTTTTTTGGTATATTGTAAGTCACTTTGTATATTGGCAGAAGAGAGTCCATTGAATGGTGCCATGTTAGACATAGAAAGTAGATGGCTGTTTGCGTGCTATCTCTGGTACAAGAGTCTGTCCCAGTTAGAAGAGGTCAAAATAAAACTGGAGGAGATGCCTCTTTCTCCATAAATATGTGGCAGATTTTCTGCCTGCCTAATTAGCTGCAAAAAAAGCCTATGCAATCTAAAACTTTAATTTAGTTTCATTTTTGTGTCATGAATGTGTGTTAAATCCAGAGTTGTTTTTTTTTTACCTTAGGGTTTAAATCCGATGTCAGGTCACATGATATGTGATGGGGTATCCTGATATTTCTAAGACTGATATATTTGCTTGGTATATTTTATTACAAAAATAATTTCTCTGTTTAAGTAGACCATCAGAAACTCACTTCTTGAAAACATAAACAATGTCATTCTCATTTTACACAATAACCAGATTTGTTTGACCCAACCATGGAGTAAGACACAATCCTTTTTTCCTGTCTTTAGGGATGCACCAGTGATGGAGACTGTGTGAAGGGAAGTTATTGCCTTTATGACATGCGCAACTCCAAGTGTCTGCCTTGCAAAGCAATCGATATGGTGAGTGAACCAAAGTACCTTTTATATGCCACCTGCGCTATTTTGGTCAGTTTTCTCTGTAATGCACTGTTGCTTTCAAATGCGCACACACACACACACTTCCAGCCAGCTGGGGTTTCACCTCGACTGCATTGCAGTATGTCCACAAGTGTAACCGGAGTGTGTTGTTTGTGAACACTGTCCTATGAGCTTCACATGAAAGAACAGCATGTGTCAAGGTTAAATAAGAGCCCATCTTTTCCCACTGCGCGCTCTCTCTCTCTCTCTCTCACTCTCACACACACACACACACACACACTCACACACACACACACAAAGGACATCCAGAACATTAGTAATGAGAGTCTTCCATCTGGAGACTCACCCATTGGTTTTATTTAAGACTCCTTTATTGCTGCTGGTTCTGTAGTGTCTTCATTTGATGAACTGGCCTCCGTTTGGCAGAGTAAAAAGCAATGCAAAGGGATAAAGATACTGGCAGTCTGCCAAACAAGGGGAACAGTGTACATGGATAATGAATACACAGAGGACAGCGTCTGCGTCTCGTCAAAAGCGCTGCACTGGAAAACTCTGCATGGAAATAACCAGAAACACCGTTGCCCATATCCAGTAATTAACAATTCATAGCAGGAACAGGAGCTTGTCTCACCGCTATCAGAGACCAGTTGACCTGCTGATCTCATTTATATTTAACAAAAAAAAAAAAAACACATCGTAGACGTCACACTTTGAGAATAATTAGTGAGTGAGTTTCGGCCTTTTTAAACTGAAGGAGCATGCCATGTTCTAATGCCATGTTGTGTGACTTTTAATACACCTGTGTTACAAAAAGACTTTACATGAAAGATATCTACTGAAAAGTTGGCTTTACTGACATATATTTTAAGGAAATTAAAATATATTTTTTCATTCTTTCAGTCCTGCACTAAGGATAATGAGTGCTGTGGTGAACAGCTGTGCGTATGGGGTCAGTGCAGTCCAAATGCAACAAAGGGAGAGGCTGGCAGCACTTGTCAATACCAGACTGACTGCAGCCCAGACCTCTGCTGTCTTGTCCATAAAGGTACAGTACAACACACAGTTCAGTGTACAGTATGCTTACTGATTCTCTCGCAAAAACATGTCTGTATGTTTCCTCTGCGTGTTCAGTCCTGCTCTTCCCCGTCTGCTCGGCCAAGCCCATCGAGCGCGAGCGCTGCTTTGGTGCCTCCAACCACCTGTTGGAGCTGTTGTCCTGGGACATTCAGGACGAGGGACCCAGGAAACATTGCCCCTGTGTAGGAGATCTCCACTGCCAGCACCTGGGGTGAGTGCAGCACATTTGAAAGCAAAGAATGATACTAAAGCTTTAAATGCATATCACTCGCTAACTTGTGCTCTGCTTTTTGACAGGCGAGGGTCCATGTGCCTTAAAGGAGAGGACTCGAGTGAAGAGGACCTGACGGACAGTCTATACTCAGAGATAGATTATATAATCTAGACGCAGCTTGAGTTCGTATACATTGCCTTGTAAACAGGGGTCTCCACTGACTCCACAGCTTTGTTGTAAAGAGCAATAGCACTTTCTGTTTGCCAGCGTAATCCAAAGAGGTAAAGCTACACTGCATGGAAAAATAATGAGAATAGATTTATTTTATTGTAGTAATAAAAGTAACTTGTAAAAAACAGGAAACAATATATTTGCAAAGTCCTGTGTTGATACTAAACAACACTACACTATTTATCTCTAACTCTTATCTAATGCTAATAATCCCAGACACACAATTAACTGTAAAACACTGAATAGCTGTTGACTCCTCACTCTTTTAACTTGTGTCACCTGTATCACATAGATCATCAGCTGACACCACGCTGAGTATCAGCACTGCGTCCTCCTAATAAAGTAAAACCCAAATAGAACAAAGTGAGCACCCAGTTTGCAGTCCCACTGCATCACTATGCACCAGGAAGAAAAAAATAAACCGGATACAATCATGCTTAATGTAGCGAAACAGTATCACGGAGGCAGGCAATAATAGATTATGCTCGGCCTTCTAACTCTCCCCTCAACGTTACACCTGTATTCATCCACAGGAAGCACTTCCAGGAGATGTCAGCAGGCTCGGGTAAAGAATTCTGTTAACATCATGTTGCCATCTAGGAAACTAATTTGAATCTTTAGACATGATAAAAACCTAATTCTAATTCTAGCTGCTTCCATATCCTAAAGTTGTTGGTAACGAAACTTTTCCTTCTTATTTCTGAGAAAATGTTTTGGTTAACCTTTTTAAAAAACAAATCCCAGCAGTATCTGCTCTGCTGCTTCGTTCCACAGAAGTCCTGTATGTTTTTGCTTAAGACCTAGGCCTCAACATTTTTATGGCACAGAGAGGAAATGTGCACGACAAGATGACACTGTCCAACGTGCCATGTTGGGATTGTTTTATCCATATTGTTTGTATGCGTATGTATGTATACAGTATATTTATACAGTATGTATAATGTGCTTTTTCTTTAAACATGTACTTAATTCTGCCTCACTTTATCTCAATTGTCCACTTTTGTCTTTCAAGCAGTATCTCATATCCAGCAGTTTGTCAATAACATATCAGAAAATATCAGATGTACAAACAAACCAGTAGCTTATTCCACTAAACTAATTCAACTATAAATTATTCTGTAGGTTAACCACCATCATAATATTTGGATCAGCAACTATAAATGGTATGGTGTACTTTTATAGCATTTATAGTTCTAGTATAACTATAAATGTTTTCAGTTTTATACCTAATCAAATGTTTCCCGATTACTAAATTGACAGACTGCAGTCGTGCCACTAGATTTCTGCTTGGGGGCGATAATCTTTTGATGTTATTTTCACCACAATCTTCAAGGCTTTTTACTTTAGTAATCCACTTCTATTAAAAACTGGGAATATTTAAAAGAAAAGGACATTACTATTCCTTAACCATCACTTATTAGCCTGTTTCATCCCATCATGGACACCACTTAGTTTTCATTCAAGAGCAATCTTTAACTCAAGGAACTATTGAACACCTGCATCTCCAGCTTATGTTGCACACCTCTGTGGTCCCAAACATGTGCTCTGTCTTGATCTTATCATTTCAAAATGCCAGCAGGAAGGTGTGATATGAATACAAGCAATACCAGATGTATGTGTGACTATAGCTTGTGCTGGATGTTATCTTACATACAACTGTCTGCACTGTTCTTAAGCACTTGAAACCTGACATGAAGCTTGTACAACTCCTACCTTTGGAACAATAAATGTTTTTCTAACACCAAAACCCCTTTTTCTCAAAAAAGGTGATTAGGATTTGTGAGTTAAATTAAGCCATTTTTAATTTACAGTGACAGAAAACTGCAGTTCTGGAAAAAAAAGCATTTTAATTAATTTCTAAAATCATCTTTTACTATTGTCACACAGGATTTAAATCTCAAAGAAATAAACAACAAGAAGGATGGGGGGAAAAAAGAAAAAGATATTGGCATTTCTACAGTGAATAGTTGGTGGCAGCATCAGGATCCCAGAGGAGCCGGGATGCTGAACCTCAGTCTTTAAAACCAGTTGCCCGGACAGACCGAGGAGTCCATTGGGCTTTCTACACCCTCTGGTGTCAGTCCATCAAGCAGCAGCCGGTAGAAGCGCCAAAAAAAACCTCACGCTCTCTGCCAAAACCCCAGAGAGAGCTCCCTCCCCTCAGTACGACACCACACACACACACACACACACACACACACACACACACGGATGACACTAGAGATGTAACCCTAGTTCACATGGTGCAAAACAACAAAAACATCAAAGAAATCCACTTTCTAAATTAAAAGTAAATAAAGACAACAGATATGTGCCTGGTGCCTCACACCCAGACCCAACTGAAAGGTCACATCTGGAGCAAAATAATAATCTACAACAAACAAACACAAAACAAGGAGATTCTTAACATAGTCTACTTGGATTTGTTTCATTGTACTTTGTAATACAGGACCAACAATAGCCATGTATCATTAAATCGAGTGGAAGTGACGCAACAAAAAAGGTAAAGCTCCTATAAAGCAAGAAGAGCAGCGGTAAGGACAACAACATCACTCTGGCTATTAAAGGAGCAGAAAGTTCTTAATTGTTGCTTTTTGGATGAATCGAATCTTGTGAATGAAGTTGTCAAAGTCGCTGAGAGAGTGAGGCCAGCCTCACCAGAAGAGGCGAGGCTGAGGAAGGGCTGGATAAGAAGTTCTTGGTTGTGTGTATGTGCTTTTGGTTTTAAAGTATTGAAAAAGCAAGGTAAGCAATGTATGATGAGAATGATGTCTATAATAGAGCAGTGCTGATGGAGTGTGAGCATGTGGACTTACAAGATGCCCACGGATGACTCAGAATCAACACTATTCCTGAAACAGGATGAGAAATGCAGTGAGAGTGAAAGAGACCGACGTGAAAGTAGACGGCAGACTTCAATAGACAGGATGGATACTTTCTAGCCCAGTTTCACAGTCCTAACATCCCTGCATCCGTCTCTGGAGCCTTTACGTTCAATTGATTTGTCTATACAGTATTTGATTCTTTTTTTTTTTTCTGTATTCAATAGCTTTTGTACTTCCCTTTAAACTTTACAGTACAATACACTATAGTGCACAACGGGGTTTCTGAGCCGGTCCTGGGGCTCAGAGTGGAGCACGTCAGCCTCGCACCGCTGCTTGATGTTCGAGTCACTATCAGGCCCGACACTCAGACTTGAGTCCCGTAGCCTGGTTGCTTCTGCTGCAGCAGCCACGCGATCCAGATAACGAGGAGCGGTGCTCAACGCCTCAGTCCTGCCCCGGGTCCTTGGCGGGGCCTCCGTCCAGGTAGATCTTGAGGGCCTTCTCCTTGCGTGGCGAGTAGCTGACACGGTGTCCAGTCTTAAGCAGGCGGCTGCTCTCCTTCTTCATCAGCTCACTGCGCTCCTCGTCCGACAGCTCCATAGGTTCCTCCGTGCTGTCCCTGCACAAGGACCAGAGTAATGTTAATCTCAAGTCACCAGGAAATGGTGAAGAAGCGTGTGCTCACAATTAAAATCTGGTGCTCTAGTAACATGTTACTGTCCATAGTCCTGTGTGTCTGAGGACCGGAAAAGGAACATCAATCAGTCCTTGAAGGTGGACTGTAATTATCTTACCTGTAGAATACCACAGCTCCGTCGTCACAGATGTACAGAGGCCACACGTTAAGAGTCGACACCTTAGGGTTCCAGTCCAAATCCTGATGGATCTCCAACACAGAAATATCACAAGGAAATGTTCCCCTACCCTGCACAGAACAGACAGGTGGATTCTCAGTCAATAGTTTAGAAGATGGGAGATTTAAGAAACATTAGAAGAAAAACGACGTGTCCTGCATCTGACGTACCTTTGCAAACTCCAGGTTTTCGAGAGGAATATTGCTCATTTCGCTAAGCTGCAAACGGAAGAAAGAAACACAGATGGATGAATGGTACTTGGACCATTTGCTGATCAAGCAATTAATTTCAATAATATTCTCAAACACAGCATCATGTTTTTATCCGTGCGGTGTTATTTATTTCCTGCAGTTTGGTGTTCACTGTTGGTTGACAATACTGTAATTATTTTTTTTATGGTTGAACAAATTTAACTTTTGATAAGAATAAATTGTGAAAAGCAGTGAAAGCACCCAGCGGGACACAGACATACCTTCTCCTTGAGTTCTTCTACACTGCTGCTCTCCAGAATAACTTCCTGGAAGGGCCCCAGCTTCATTGTAGCGGGGCTCCATCTCCGGGTCAGGACAGCCAGCTGCGACATGGACTTCATCTTCTCCGGTTCTGAGAAACAGATCATAACAGACCATAGAGCAAGTACATTATTATATCACCTGGAGAAAGAACAAGCTTCTCTGCACTCTGGTACTAACTGCGCACATTTGTAGCTTCGTGTCACGGGTGACGTTACGATCAAGTAGTAATTTCATCTTTGTGCCACTTCCTCAAAGTGAAAAAGTGTCTTTTATTACCAGTAGCTAAATAAAGTCCCATGGTATGAAAAATAAACTTTATTATAAAATAACCCGTTGTAACATGTTTGAAAGAGACCGCAGAATGAGCCGTTACCATTAAGAACTTCCAGGAAAACTTCCCAGTTGGAGGAGATGCTGATGTCTTCTTCATAGACATGATAGTCCAGAAACACCGTGCCCGGGTTCTTCCACGTCTTTTTCCTGAGACGAACACTAAACACACACACAGTTGATAAACACCTACACTTTTTTTTCTTTTAAACAAAATGTGTAGAAACAAAGTCTTACTTGTCAATGCTGAGATCAAGCTTGCAGTGCTCTTTCAACTGAGGGAGCAGCTCCTCTTTAGACTGTCTGACAGTCATGCCCTTGGCAAACACCGTGTCCACAAGGAACTTGCAGGGCTGGGAAGCACAAGCATGGAAACACGGTCAATATCTGTGATCACAATGTTCAGCAACTTAAGTCAGGTCATTCACAAACAATCTTATTCAGCACAGTGACAGCTCTTACCTCGGTTTCATTCACCAGCAGTTGATACACTTTCACTCTGTATTCACCCTTTTTCAGTGCTCTTCCTAATCGAATAGTTATCTGTGGGAAGCAATAAAATGCACAAGTCAAGTATTGGCTCACTCTTAACAGACAGTCGACAAATCGGTTGTAAAGTCGATTCTGACCTTGTTATCATCAGAGAACGACGAGAGCGTTTCATTGAGCCGAACACTCTCAAACTCCTGGTTGTTGGCGTACACACGAAACACCTTGAACTGGGTAGAGGGGACTCCCACGTACGGCTCCAGGTTCAGTTTAAACGCTGCTAACGTTATTCTCTTGTCCACGTGAACCACTAAACCTGAAGCACATCACAAGAAACAACAATCAAACATTCGGTCTCATTTCCTGCCCCCTTGAGAAAAGGGAAACACTGATGAACAGACGATGCAAAGTCAATCACGTTCTGCACAGAATTAGTCGTTGTGCCTGCCTCTGATTAATCCTTTAAACTGCATCATAAATAGAAGGTTCGTACATTTTTGTGCATCCGATGAGGAGTCGTCTTGAGAACAAGGCTCTGCTCTGAAGTACAGGTACTGGGCCTCGGCCTTGCTCTTCCCATTGTCGTCATACTCGCTGTCCGTTCCAGAGTCTTCCTCGGCGGTGTCCCAGGTCTCCTTTTTGCCCTCGTGGGCTTTGGAGCGACGGCTACTTGTGATGCTGTGCGAGTCCAAGCCGTTGGCCAGCTGTATGGGCCCGCTGTCTGCATTGCACAGCGTGTCGCTGCTGTGGCTGGAGCTCAGGATGTCGCTGTCCACCGAGCTGGTGCTGCGGTCGTTGTTCACCTCAGAGTCCGAGCGCTCCTCGCCGGCAAAGTGGTTGTCTGGGTCAGAGGAGGTGCCGCTGCCGCCCCCAGCTGTGGCCCTGATCCGGTTCTCCAAATCTCTGTTGTCAGCAGCCACACAGAGCGAAGAGTTGGAGTCAGCCTCTTGGGTCGGGGATTCGATATGTTCAAAGTCGCTGGCGTCAGAGCTTTTCTGGCTGTCACTGGTGCTGGAGCCCTGCTGCTGGAGAGACAGATTCTTTAACTTTTCTGTGCTCTCCTCGAGGATCGCCTCTACAGATGTCCTGTTACCCTTTGAACCGTCAAAGGGCACATCGGAGTCACCGCCTACTTTTTGGCAAAGAGTCCTGTTGGCCAAGGTACCAGGAGACTGCTCAGGGAGTAAGAGCAAGAGCCGGATCGTATTCCCGTGACGATCCAACAGTTTCCACAAGAGTGATTCAGTGAAAGCAACCTGATGATCAGTCGACTCGGAACTCTCTACAAAAACCTGAACAAAAGCAAAATGAGAAACAGATCAAATTCAAGCTTAATCTGGTTTAGAAGTGTTCAAGTAGATTTTCTAATACAAAGCGAACAAAACACAAAGAAAACACGTGGAAGTAATAAAGTGAGAATTAAAAAACAACAACATTGTTACCTTGTTACTCCTGAAGAAGCCCTCGGCTTTCAGCGTCTTGTTGGGAACGTACAGGAGCCGGAGGTCATTATAGCAGCGCTCCAGGACGACACGCATGGTTTCTGCAGAAAGCCCTGTAGCCTAGGAACAAACACATATATAAGGCTCAAGTCTCACGGCGAATGTACTACATTTATTTCACAATTCTCTGTGTTGATGTTTAAGATAATAGAGTTGAGGAAGAAAGAGATGATGCGGGGACGGAACGGAGGAGAGTAGGACACCTGTGCAATAAGCTGTTTGAATTCGGTGA